GGCTGGGTAGATGGATGCATGAAAGGAAGGGAAACTCCTTTTCTTTCTTGAAGGAAAACGCACTTGTTTTGTTCACAGCCAGTTGAACTGGCTCAATCTGAAAAAGTTGAATTTGGTGAGGAGGAGACTGGGGTGTTTAGTACTGGTGACTGCCACTCTCCAGGATATATTCAGGAGCAAGTCCAGAACTTCAAATTGCCAGTCAGAAAAGCAACAATAAAGCTGGGGGTGAGGATAGGAGAGGGGTGACTAGGAATGGGAGGGGAGAGCAGAATAGAGTCCCTTGCAGGACAAGGTAACGACTGGCCTTTCAATAAACTTCACCTAACGCAGTGACAGGAGTCATGCATGTCTGCAGTTCCCATCAAAGCATTCACTGCACTGGGCCAAACTCATAAAGCCAGATCCAGGCCTCACCAGCTTTGTCCCCCGTGTCAGCAGCCTCCTGGAGGAGCAGGTCTACCAGTTAAAATAAGGGGACCAGTGAACCTCCAGGCATACAAACTCTCAAATGCAGAGACCACGGGAATGGCTAACAAGCCCTCACCTTATTATTCTCTCATCTCAGACCCCAATGAGTTGTCAGCCTCCAAGGCCCTGGAAGCATTAAGAACAGCAGCTCTAGCCGTCAGACTGGCATGAGATAAGACCTTATAAACCAGAATGTCAGTTAAGATTACACAGGACTCGTGGCTTAAGAAAAGAAACGCCACTCGAAGGCTTCACTCTCGGGTTCAGGGAATGTTCTTGTGATGGTGCCAGGCCTTGTCACGGGGGCCTGTGGTGGCATGTCTAATTTACACCTAATCTGGATCAGGACCAAGAGGACTTGCATGCAGGGCTCCTGTGGGAAAAGTCCCTCCTCCATTCTGGACTAGGTCATGGATGCGCAGTGTTCCTGAGGGTGGGGTTCTTCTCAAGTAAGCCCCTGAGGGCAACGGTTTAAAGGACAATTAGACTTAATCACAAGCTTTCAACTTTCTGGTTTCAATTGAGTCCAGACACATAAATGCCAAAAATATCAAAGAGAAAAGGAAAGTCTCAGAATCTCTTTATTACTTTCTGAATAATATGACAGGAATGTTCCAGAAAAGCCATATCATCAGCAGTATTCACAATAAAAGCAATTAATTTCACCTTCAGGTTTATATGCTGATATTTTTATATTCACATATCAGGGTGAACTATGGTACTCAAAGTCATGGCCCAGTAAATTACAAGAGTTAGCCACACAAGGCTGGGATTCCGTTAGAAGACTGGCTGATGATTCTGTAAAATTTACCTCTCCAAAACTACTAGGCTCCTAGGACTACCATAATAAATTATCACAAACTGGGTGGCTTGAAACAATGGAAGTTTATTCTCTCTCAGTTCTGGAGGCCAGAAGTCCTAAATCAAGGTGTTGGCAGGACCACACTCCCTCTGAAGGCACTAAGGGAGGATCCTTCCTTGCCTCTTCTGGCTTCTGGTGGCTCCCAGCATTCCTTGGCTTGTGGCTGCATCACTCCAATCTCTGCCTCTGTCTTCACATGGCCTTCTCCTCCTTCTGTCTTCTCCTCTTCTGTCTCTTACAACACCACCTGCCACTGGATTTACGGCCCATCTGGATAATCCAGGATGATCTCATCCCAAGGTTCTTACCTAATCACATCTGCAATGACCTTCTTTTCATGTAAGGTCACATTCACAAGTTCCAGGGGCTAGGATGTGGACATATCTTTTGGGGGGCCACAATTCAGCCCAATGTACAAAGTGTACTCTGGACTTCCAGGTCTTTACAAAACCTTAAGTACTTGAAAATAGCCCATATTTTCTTCCATGCTTTAACGCTAATATAAAGAAGAGTGAGGAGATGCTTCTTCCTTCTGCTTTATATACCATCGGGAAGACAGCTGACACAGGCCTCAGAGGTGGATGTCAGGAGTCTGGTGCAAGTGTGCCCATGCCAACTGCACACGTGTAGGCAATTTTAAAAGCATGTTTTTCTAATTATACTGTTTACACTTGATTATACATACACAGCTGAAAAAGTCTAGTTTTCACATCACCTGCTTAGGCACAGTGACTGCGTTTTCAGAAGCAAAAATCTACAAATGCTTTTATGTAGATTCCAGAATAGAATGTTTTGGGGAAAACTATCCATGTTAAAAACAAAAAGCCTCATACTAGTTGTGGGATCTAGGGCAAGTTATTTATAATCATCCTGTGTTCCAGTTTTCCCATCTGTAAAATGGCATCATCATAAAAAGCCTACTTCACAGGGTTGTTATGAGGATTAAATAGGTTAGTATCTGTAAAGCATTTAAAACAATGCCTGGCACATTGTAAGGGCTATATAAGTTTTATCACATTGTTTTAAAAAGCCATAATTAGAAATCACAGTAAATATTGAAGAGATTCATTTACAAACACATTCAAAGCATGCACATCAATTGAAGTTCTTGATTATAAGCAACAGAGATGCAGACAAAATCTTTTAGGAAATGAATGTTTGTAGAATAACTGGGAAGGGTCAAAAAATGGTTGGAGCCAAGGGAAACTGGGCAGCAGACTATGCAGCCACAAGGACCTAGAAGAAACATCACTGAACCATTCTGCCCAATCAATGCCGATTTAGAAAGCATAAGGTAAAAAGCATATACAAAAATAAACATTTTAAGTGGAGCTTTGGACTTGTCATTATCCACTGTGTTCTTAGAAATACCAGTAACATAAGTCCCTCTTTTTATCGGATAATAAGTATGTGATGGAAGGTTACTTACTGGAAGGTACTGGAGTATCTCAATTAAACTTAGCCAACAACAGCTCCTAAACTCCGCGTCTTACAAATTTTCTCTCTGTTCTAGCTTGAAAATCTTGCAAAGAACTCAGATTTGCCCGGCTTGCACCCCTTTACTCAGATGCACACCCTAAACTAGTCAACTGGGGTGAGCAGAGAGTCATAACAAACCCCGGGGCTCCTGCCAGAGACACGGTTAGCAACGGAAACACAGCTACTCCAGAAGATACTGCCAAGCAGACGTGGCACAGCTGAGCTGTACTCATTCACACTGTATCCATGTTGAATGCAGAGACTACCTCATGAAGGAAAACACGTCCCTATACATATGGAGTTCTAAGTGAGGCCAAGAGACCGGAACGACATGAGTAGAAAAGACAGAAAACAGGGGAAGAGAGAAATAAGTAAAAGAGAAAAAACAAGGAACGCACAAAAATGTAACTAGTAATCACCTTCTACAGTGCAAATCACAAGAAAATAAGCCAATATTTGTTCTAAATTTATTTTTCTGGTAAACGAGGTAAAATAGAAAGTATAAAGACTTAGTCCAAATTCTAACAGGGCTGTCCGATGATCTGTGATGAACTGGATGCCAGTCCTGTAGGACTGAAGGTTCCCACATGCAAGACTAAATGATAACAGGCATGATTTATACAGAGGCAGGTAAAATTAATAGTTCATTTTAAAGTTTTCCCACATTAAGGGTTAAAATGAAAATGGTTTTCCAGCTCTCGGAAAAGATTCAGTTAAGCATACAACGCCCTTTTTCAAAACACTGTGACAAACTGAAGTTTTTATGCAAAAGTGTATGGTGACATTTCTGAAGTATGTTTACCAGTTGGAGGGAGAGTTTAAGACAGGACTGTAATCAAGCGAGTGGGATTTTTGGCCTACTGCTATCTTCCTCCCTCCACGAGGCATATACCAAGTTCAGTTCCCAAAGTACTACAATAAATACACCTAGTTAACTTTGTTTGACCAAGCGTTTCTCAAATATATTTGGTCAGGGAACCCTTTTTATTATGACATCTATTTGTATCCTAAGGAACTCATGTTCTAAGGGACATCCTTTGAGAAATGCTGCTATGTCGCAAATAAATACTGAGATTCTAAGGGTGGTGAGTTGAGCAACAGCTGTGATCTGTTTTAGTGTCTCTAAGGAAACTAGTAAGTGAGACATATCTTCTCAAATGTTTTTTTTATAGAATGAGTATTGTGTGCAGAAATCCCACCCACCTTTCTTACAAATCACGCTGATGTAGAAATGGGAAAATGCTACAAGATAGTAATTACCACAGTACTGAAAACACATACCATAACAATCCCACTGTAAAGCATTTTAGAGAGGATGAAGAGAATGTTGACATAAAAAGAGTAACTCTGAAAAGGTGAGCATTACCAAGTGTCTCTGGTCTCTTAAAGCAGTCCTCAGAACTGGCCCGAAGGGGTCCTCTCCAAATGACTGAGTTGACTCAGCTCACTCTCCTCAGGCCTCCTGAATAGACGGCGTCTGGCGGACACATGGGAGCTCAACCAGTCCTCCCCAGGAGAGCTGGAACCCTGCAGCATCTAGTGCCTGTCTTTAGGGACAATATTTGTGCAATCCTCCCCAACCCCAAGTCCTCCAGGGCCAGCTCCACCAGAAATTACATTTTTGATGGCACAGTTATGTATCAAAAGGTGGAGGAGCGAAGGGGTCCCCAGTCTACCATAACAAGGGTGTAAAGGTAGGGGCTCTGGGTGGACATATATGTTCCTAATATCCGACTTGGCTGAAATTTGGAATGAGTTTTTCGCTAGAATCAATATCATAAGTGATGAATAGATTAAATGTAGTTCAACTCTATCATTGTTAAATCATTTTGAGGGGATTATTGTAAGAATATGCTACCATTTATAACATTATTTCCCTAAAAAGTGAAAAAGCATTTTGTGTTCTAAATACTGCACACTAAATACAATACAGAGAATTAAAACACTGGTAAATTGTGGATAGGCTGCAGTTAGTTTCCTAAATCCTTAGAGTTTCCTCCAAGACTTATTCATGGTTCACGCAACACACTATAGCTTTTTTGTTGTTTGATATTTTCTTACCCTGATATGCTCACTTGAATTTTTATAGCAATTCCTAATCTAAATGATGTTACTCAGCAAATGTCTTAAGTCTTGATTTGGAAATCTGGTATTCATAGTTAGAATGAAAAAGCAAATTAAACAGAGATACATTTTACATAAATCTTATTTATTTTTTCTCTGCTATTCAATATAAAAATATGCACTGCAAAACACTTTAGGAGAGTTGATGAACTGTGTACTGACAGAAAAGGCCTGTCCAGCAAACTCTGCTCTGAGGTGAGTCTCGGGGGCCCAGGTGCAGGGAGCGCGGAGAGCCCGCGGCTGCAGGCGCATGCTCCTGCTTTGTAAACTCACACTGACTCAAAACAGTATTAAGAAAAAGTCATACTTCAAACAGCAAAATAAAGGTAGAGCACTGACACCTTTTACAAAGTCGTAATAAAATATTCATTCATTCTCTGCTTGAAAATCCAGGAAAAGATGAAAGGCAAAGCAGATAGAAAAGGAGTTAAATGGTAAGTGTTTATAAAGTCAGTTTTCTCTGATTTTTGAAAAAACTGATTAAAAATCCTTTGAGGCAACGTGAAAGCTCCTGCATTCTCTACCTGCCAACGTCACCGTCTGCTATAGCAGCTCCTTACTTGTCCACCCAGATTTTACACTACAGACCGAGGCATGAGCTCTCACAGGGACATCAGTGCTTTCTTCTTGGTACTATAATGCTTCTGCTCGTACGCCATGAAGTACTGTCACAAATATGTTGTAATTATACTTCATCATGAACAGAAATTAAGAAAGCACATTTTGCCTAACTGATTTTTTGTCTTCTAAGTTGTATTTGTTCACTCACCTGCCAATTTGAAAAATCTAGTAATTTGGAGAAGGCTTCCTCATCATGATGTGAATTGGTAATGCTATAACTTAATTCAAAAGCAATTATCTTTTAAAAACAGGACTCAGACCAGCAAAGCTTAGCTTCAGCCAAAATCTGCTAGCACACCATGGGCAAAAGGCCAACTCTACAGTGAGATGTAAAGGTCACTTTAAGAAACATCCAAATAAAAATTACAACAAATTTTGTCCATTAGAATTAATTTACGAATGGAAATCTAAATTTAATGAGAGGACTTTAAGACCTTTGGACTAGAATCTCACAATCAGATAGAAAAGCAATTTTAACATTGATTCTTATGATATTAGAAAGTTTAACCACTGATTTAAAGAATTCTGTTGAAACAAATCATAATAAAAGCTATGGTGGCAACAGATATTGAGTCTACAATTAAAAACTAATCCTTTAGGGGCCGGCCCGGTGGCGTAGTAGCTAAGTTCGTGCACTCCACTTCGGTGGCCCGTGGTCCACAGGTTTGGATCCCACATGCGGATCTAGCACCAGTCGTCAAGCCACGCTGTGGTGGCATCCTACATAAAATAGAAGAAGATTGGCACAGATGTCAGCTCAGGGCCAATCTTCCTCAGAAAACAACACAAAAAATCAAAAACTAATCCCGTAAATTTTTTCCCATGAACAAGACACAAATACTAAACATTTTCTACTTTTCTATCTCCAGAAATTCCATGACAATCCAGAAGTGAAAAAAAATGAAGTTCAAACCTGTATCTAGCTGGTTGACTGTGAAAACCCTGACACAGCACTACGAAGCATAAGACAGCACTGTTGCATACTGAAGAAAAATGACAACAATTGAAAACATTGTTTTCGACTGAAGCTTTACTAAATTTGAAATAATACATCCTGATTGTCTTTTTAGTGTTATTGTTTAGTAGTCAGAACTACTTGCAACACCAGGGCTGAGAGCTGATAAATATTTATGGTGCCACTTGGTGACTTCCTTCAAGTTCAGCCATAGCATTGATTTTGGATGTGGTCAGTCCTGTCCCCACAGGAGCACATGCTCCTTTGCATGTCTGGGCAGCTGTAGAGCTGGGGACCAGATTGTTACAGGTGCTCTGCAGCATCAGTGGGAAGAGCTGCCAGCTAATGGAAAAAAATGAAAATGGAGAATGCTTTCTTATGCTTTCCCACAGATATAATCACAATTTCACACATGCAAAACCTAAAGAAAATGGAAGCTCCTTTATTTCAGATAACCTGTAAATTCAGAATTCCACATATAATTTTCTTCACAGGAGCATAACATACTGTGCATCAATATCCATCTTCCTATGGAATCCTTGATAAGATTTTAGTTTACAAGGAGAAGGGGAAACGAGATCCAGAGGCTGAATGACGGCTTCAGCACCATCATATGAGATGGCTTTTGGGTTTGCCACACAGTGTGAGTTTCTTTGTCGTGAGCAGCTGTGCCAGGCCATTGAGAAAGACCAGAACCATGGTCATGGACATGACAATCACGTAGTGGCTGATGCTACAGAAGGAGAAAAAGAAATATGTTACAGGCAGAAAGAACATGTATAAGGAAAAGGAGAAGATTCCTCCAAATAATGTTTTAAAATGTATATATAAAATACACAGAATCACAAAGGAGCCCAATGATGTGGAAATAGATATCAAAATGTCAAAAAAACAAATTTGTTACAGAAGTAGTGATGAACATAAATAACTTTTTGAGATATCTCCAACAACTATAATATGTTATGAAAATATCCGATTGATATTAGCAGTGCCTGTGTCTTTGTCACCAATAGAAACTCAATTTCAAAATCTAGCTTTTAGAAAAATAAAGATAATTTTCCCCCTTCAAGTCTTGGACCCTCTGAATAATATCCACGGACTCCCCAGGATGTTCCCAGGTTAAGTGTTCTGACGTTTCAGAGCATGCCATCCGATGCTTTGACATAAGATAGAAGCACTGTGACAAAACGACTAACCACAAAGAAAGAAAAATGTTAGCCAAACTCAAATTCAGTGAAGTGAAATTTTAGTCAAGGAATCTGAACAAAGGAAAAAGGACACATCTCTTTACTAATCTCAAAGTCAAAGCTATTGTCTCTCAGACTTTTGGAAAAAGAAGAATAATGAATACTATTAAAATTACTCAGTTATCAGTTCTCATCCATCAGCAATAGGAAATGTGCAGTTTTTCTTTCTAAACACAGTTATTGTACTGTCTACACAGCTATGGCTTGATGATAAATTTATAAGTATGGGAAGAAACTTAGGATACAGATCTGACAAATTTACAGTAAAGCAGAGGCTTCATCAGTGGTACCAGCACAGTATCGCCCAAGTTAAGCTACAGTGCAGACGGGCAAGTGGTCTATTTACACTGCCTATCAGAGCCACGTTGAACCATCTGACTTTGCAATAGGTTCGCACATTTTACATCCTTCGGCAAAAGTGGGGGGAAGTTTTAGCAGGCCTATAACCAGGCTGGCTTCGTGAAGGGAGGCCATATTTTCTCCCTCTTCCTCTCCTCTACCCCCCAGCAAACAGGAGTCATGGCGTTGGTTACAGAAGCTCCTACCCCGAAATGGCCCACAGGACAAGCCCCAGGGAACTTGCCCCAGGACATCTGGCAAGGCGACTGTTGGGTGCACTTAAACAGTCCGTCACCTAGAAGGACAGGGAGACTAAGGGACAAGTCTCCCTCCCACCTTCTCAGTAACTCCAGTCCAACAGGTGGGCAGCCCCCAAATGCCAGACTGCTTCTCCCAGGCCAAGCTAAGCAGAGCTTCCACGCGCTGCCAGGTCTTCGCCCCCAGGCAAGGCCTCCGCAAGGCCAGGAGGGAAGGGCCTTCTACTCGGCTCAGGCCTTTGGTTTTGGTATTGTTACAGCTTTCAAGTGAGAAACTCCACTTGTAAAGTTTTATAGTTTGATAAGATTTTCCTTGGAAAGGCACTGGTTAGGACATTCTTATTTAGAATCTTTCTCTAGGTTCACCTTATAAAGTCAATTTGAAATAGAAAAAGAAGAGCTGGTTAATTAAAAAAACAAGAATTAGAACTAGCTATGTTAGAAATCTCGTTCTGGTCTAGGGTAGGCTCCTGACGTAAAAAGGAAAACAATAATATCAGATCCTTAATTGCTAAGCAAATATTAACACTAAAGTAAGATTTGTGAAACTTTTGTTTGTTTTCACTGTATACATAATGCAACAGGATATTGGACCAGGGATTTTTTTCTACTTAAATTTATGTGCATGTGTTTGTACATTTTTTTAACCCTGAACGAATATGATATAGAGCTTACCTACCATTTAATTATGTAGATGTTACAAGTTACAAAGCCACTTCCCAACTTTACTAGCTACAGAGGAAATAAATCACTGATCATTATTTTAAAATGAAAATAATGATCAAAAGACTAGATTTATTTATCATCCTATCAAGTTTTGCTGGGAACAGAATTATCTAGATATTGATTTTAACAGAATTCTCTTGAAAAACATGCCAAAATAGACAAGCTTATGTTACTAAAATTAGGTGAGCCATGCTGACATTTGATCACACACAGAATTGGGTAATTGGCTGACTGATCTTGCTTTAAACATCTTCCAAAGCAAGGCAACTCAAGTTTATCCCTTCTCAGCAGATGACTTTGCTAATTTTATTGAGAAAATACTGACAGAGCAATCCTAAAAGAGAACTTCTTCTCGCCCCAAACCTACTAAGCTACCCATATCTGTGTCCACATTTCCTCCTGCACCTGATGTTGTCTACAACAAACTCCTCCACTTCTGTTGTGGATCCCATTTCAACTTTGCTACCAAAGGACTTTACTTTTGCAACTATCCCTGTCCTATATGGCCAATTTCTCCCCCTCTAACGTGAGCATCTCTTTCACCACACAGATGCGTAATTTCTCTCATCCTAAAAACAAATGAAAAACTCTCCCAAGATCCCATGGCTCCCTCCACCACCATCCAAATTTAAGGCATTTTAAATTTGGCATGTCCAAAACCCAGCTCTTAATTTCCTATATCCTTCTTCATCAAACTCCCACCTCCCAGAGCCTTCTCCATCTCTAGAAATGGTGTTACCATTCACTTAGTCACTCAAGATAAAAAACCTAGGGGTCACCCTTGATTCCTATCTTTTGTTCTCCCAGCACATCTAATCCATCAACAAATTCTATTCACCTCTTTCAAAACATTTTCAAATCCAGCCTCTCGTCACCATTTTGAATTGCTACCCTAGTCCAAGCTGCCATCATCTCTAGCTTAGGATACTCCAACGGCCTCTGAATCAGTCTTCCGTTCTCTCTCTTGATCCCTACAATATGTTCTCCACACCATGGTCAGAGTGTTGTTTCAAAACGTAAAGCATATCAAATCACTTCCCTGCTCAAGAGCCTAATGCTTCACCTTACACTTGGAATAAATTCCTAATTCCTTGCAATGACCTTCAACCATAAGTGATACCAACTGTCTGTCTTTCTGAACTCTCTCCCTAGCATGTTTCCCCTCACACCATTCTAGTTACAGTAACCTTCATGCTTTCAAAAGTATTTACTGACATGGGGAAATAATTATTATAGAAAGTCAATTTTAAAACAAAACAAAATCCTGTATATGTTTGCACATAAATTAAGGCTAAAAGGATATACATCAACATGTTGAACAGTGTTTATCTCTGAGACACTGAATTATGGGTGACTTCTTATTTTTTCTATATGCTTTCAGTATTTTCTAAAATAAGCTAGTGACAAACTTCTTATTTTCTATAATAAGTTTGATATAATTTAATATGATGTTTACAAATTATGGTAGGATTAGCCATAGAACTCTTAGGCTGAGATCATAATTACCACAGAAACTTCAACTCTATTCAGTGTCTGTTTCTCACAGGACATTTCAAAATCTGCACTGGTTCCTGAGATCAAAATCCTCAATCCGACAAGCTGCATACAATGGTGACGACTTCTTCATGTTGTAAGAATGTTTACTCTCCAACCCGGGGACTAAAGTTTGGCGTCAGAGATGAGATGAGTGAGTGAGTACAAACCGCCCAATCTAGGTCTTGAGGATCAAATCCAGGAAAACTCAATCTGAGTTTGGGTTCCATGGGAGACCAGACAAGGAGGTCAGGAGTCAGGTAGATAAAGGAAAGCCATGAGGACTGTAAAAGATGACACTATGGAAAGGATAAACAAAAGATGGCATATCCATACAAAGGAACACTATTCAGCAATGAAAAGGAACAAGGTATTGATAGATGCTACAACATAAATGGATGCAAAAACATTAGGCCATGTGGAATGCCAGATGCAAGAGACTACTTATTGTATGATTGCATTCATTGAAACGTCCAGAATAGGCAAATCTGTAGAGACAGAAAGCAGATTAGTAGTTGCCTGGGATTGAGTATGGGAATGGGGATAGGTTGTAATCACTCTGGGGGAATTTTTTGGGTGATGGAAATATTCAAAAACTAGAATGTGGTGAAGGTTGCACAACTCTATAAATTAGCTTAAAATCACTGAAGTGATTTAAAACCTTAAAATGAATGAATTTTATGATATGTAAATTATACTTCAATAAAGTGGTAAAAAAGAAGAAAGAAAAGATTACATTCTAGCAGACTTTTCTTTGTTAAATTTTGCTATCACTTTTAGGCCTTTTATCACTTTTAATATTTTAAGTTACTTTAAAATATGAAATATAACTTGATCTCTTAACAAAGTAAGTTTTGTAAAACCAGTAGGTGAGCCATCCTCAAACTTACTGAAAGTCTATTTATAAAAGACAGAGATCACATATCTCCTTACAACGGCCTGAAATTACTGACTCTTGGCTCATTTAAGCTAATGTTATTGGCAAGGAACAGTTGTGAAGTTCATCTCCATGCAATTGAGCCACAAGGCATTTAGCTTGTGATATTTTCCATCAATCAAGTCTTGGTGTCATCTCAGCATAGCAGAGTTAAAGGAGCATCAAATTTCAACTTGAAATGAGTTCGGCTGTTCCCATCTTCCTCCTATGACTATCTGACATCACTTAAAACAGCTATTCTCAAGGTGTACATGTGTGACGGTAGAGAGGGGCAGGGTCTGTGTGTGGAAGGGAACACAGAACCACCAGGCAGGCCTTTCAACCTGTGCAACAGGTGATACAAAGTTGATTGTACTTCTCCTCAGGGTAAGGGACAATAGAAGCAGGTTATATCTGTCAGATGCACTGGGGAGGAAAAAGATTGAGGATCACCGATTTCAATAAAGCTTAGTATTCATTGTAAGAGTAAAGATATTTTATGGCACTTATTCATTACATTTAGAAAGGTACTAAAATATTACTGAACATAATCATAAGTTTTCATTATATAAAAAGAGAAAAGACATTTTAGTTGTCATTTGTATTTTAATAAGGTATAACAATAGTGCACGTAGGAAACAAAGTCCAAATGAACATCATTATCAAACCAAACCACAGTGCAAAGTGATGATGCTGACTCTGTTCACCTCATATCAAATACATTTAGAACATAAATTTAAATATATGTTTCATGGTTATGAAAATTACCTCAAAGGCATTTTTTCTGTAGTTTAAAAAAATGCACTTCTTTCAGTTCGCCATATAAAAGGTGGTACTCTGTAAAGTTTATGACCTGCTGTGGATGAAGATACAGTGTAAAAGATCAAAAGAAGAAAATACTAAATTACAGCTCTGTCAGCCCAACTCAGTTCTGTGGCCTGGGCAGGATATTTTTCACAGGGCTGTTAAAGGAACACCTGAGGCCATGAATTTCTCCAGGGACCCACTGAACTTACACCGCAGTTTCGGCTGATTATGCTGACTGGAGCGTGTTCCTTCAAGAGTCTCAGTTTAATTCTGGTAAAACCTGCTCTGAAGATGCATTTAAACATTAGACTATGCCCATAAACAGACACACCGTCTCCTGCCCCAGTAATGCAATCTCTATTGTTAAGGAAACCTGAAAATGAACAGCTGAGGAATCTCTCAAACCTATTTTGAAAACCCACTGCAGGCACCACGATGACACTATAAAGATAACAGATACACGCCAGCCTCCATGCATGGGGTGGGCTAGCTCCCACTCCTCTAAAATTCTGGGACAGATTCTCACCATTTCTGCACTCACAAAGCAATAAAACAGCAAGGACAAAAAGATAACACTCCTTTCCTGTGAATAACGGGCATGGAATGGCTGAAGTTATTAACTGCGTTACTAATACAAAGGAGTTTAGAAATAAAATTTGCCACAAAGGGAACCACTGCAGGAGCACAGCTCAAATAACCCCAGTTCCCACTCGGGGAACTCGACAGAGAGATTAACAGTATCTGCAACATCACAAGAAACAGCTCAGCTTTTCAAATATACATTCACATAGGAATAATTAGAAAATCAAAACTTAAAAGCAACATTCTCACAAATAAGAAGCCGGAAAAAGTAGAATAATGAAGTTTTGATATGTGAACCCTACTAAATGGTGCTTTAGTTCTGAATCTTGAAGGATGTTTTCCCCCATTATCCAAGCCTTTTCCTGGCAATCAATTAGACGCTTATGAAGATGCATGAACCACTCCTGCCCATTAGCCCTGTACCACATGGTTCACTGCGGCAGTATGTGCCATTACTGCCGTAAAGGATACAAAGAGATTTTCGAATTCTAACTTACCGACAAGCGCAGCAGCAGCAACAAAAGCCTCACCTTGCAGCATCAATGGGGGCAATTTCACTTAGAAAGCCTAATTTCACTAACTTAGATTTCAGTTTCTTTCTCTATTCCAGCCCCTTCACCCTCTACCCTCCCCTCTGCAGCCATCTTCCTTTCTTAAGTGGGCATATGATACAACAAAAGACAAGACAGACAGAGCAGAGCAAGGAGATATTTCAGCAGGAATGACCAGGAGAGTATGTGGGGAATTTATGTAGGATAGGCCCATGCCCGCAGCCTGAAGAAGAGCTCTGAAATCCCTATATACCTGCCTTCAAGAAGTCTCCCCAAGCAGGCACCCCATTTAACCTACGGGACTTAGATCTGTGAAGATGAAGCATTGAGACTGAGATAAACTGAGGTTTAACATAACTTACTAACTGGCTATGTCTTTCTCGTCTTCCCATCCATTTGGGATTTTTAATGTTGTATAGATGAGGGTGCAATGATTACAAGAGGCACAAACCAGGACTGTTTCAGGTAAATCTGGACCTACAGTCACTGTACGCATAGGGCAGCTCCCATTATAAAAAATACTATTACCACAAAATATTTCTACAGAATAGCCTTTACCCTATAGGGCATTAATTAATTATATAACATTTTAATATGTATCATAAATCAATTATAGTACTGAAACATGGAGTAACATCCTTTTCTTATGGCCCATGCTGTAGAGTGGGGGTCATCAAAGCATTCTCAGCCCCCAAACGCTAACGCACTATTCTGTTTCCCTTGGTTTGAATGATGCTCACTGTTTGTTTTATGCCTCTGGAGTCTCTCTTTTTGCTGTTATTTTTTGCTCTGATGAACACTTTATTCCCATGATGGCTGTGCAAAGGAATGCAAGGAATAGGGCCGGAGGTACCACACAAGTGCCAAGAAACACCTCATGCTAGATGTTAAATGAAAATTTTGCAATGGGTCAAAGCCTCTTTTAAAAACAATCAAACAAGCACAAGCAACAAAAATCAAAATAAAGTGGACTATATCAAAATCCAAAACTTCTGTGCATCAAAGGACACAATCAACAGAGTGAAAAGGCAACCTACAGAATGAGACAAAATATTTGCAAATCATTTATCTGATAAAGGGTTAATATCCAAGATATACAAAGAACTCCTACAACTCAACAATAAAAAAAACAATAACTTCACTTAAAAATGGTCAAAGGACTTGAATAGACATTTCCCCAAAGAAGATATACAAATGGTTAACAAGCATATGAAAAATGCTCAGTATCACTAATCATTACAGAAATGCAAATCAAAACTACAATGAGATACACCTCACACCCATCATGATGGCTACCATCAAAAAAACAGAAAACAATGTTGGCAAGGACGTGGAAAAATTGGAACTCTTGCGTAGTATTGGCAGGAATGTAAACTGGTGTACCTGCCATGGAAAACATTTGGCAGTTCTTCAAAAAATTAAAAACATAACTACCATATGATCCAGTAATCCCACTTCTTGGTATATATCTGAAAGAACTGAAAGCAGGGACTCAAACAGATAATGAACACTCACGTTCATAGCAGTATCATTCATAATAGCCAAAAGGTGGGAGCAACCTATGTGTCCATTGATGGATGAACAGATAAACAAAATGTGATATATACATACAATGGAATATTACTCAGCCTCAAAAAGGAAGGAAATTCTGACACATGCTACAACATGGATGAAACTTGAGGACACTATGCTAAGTTAAATTAGCCAGTCACAAAAGGACAAGTACCGTGTGATTCCACTTACATGAGGTACCTAGAGCAGCCAAATTCTTAGAGACAGAAAGTAGAATGGTGGTTTCCAGGGGCAGGGGGGAAGGGAAATGGGGAATTGTTTAATGGGTATTGAGTTTCAGTTATTCAGGATGAGAAGGTTCTGGAGATTGGTTGCACAATAATGTGAACGTACATAATAATACTGAACTGCATACTTAAAAATGGTTAACATGGTATTTTTATGCTATATATATATATATATATATATATATATATATATGACTGTAACTTTTTTAAAAGGAAAGAAAAGTACAAAGGAAAAAAAGTAAAAGTTGACAATTTGGATTTGGTGCAAAGTATGATGACATAGAGAAGGGCCCTGCAACATCACTGCAGCCTGGGAGGACTGACCTTGAAGGAAGCAGGAAAAAACCATGCCTGGAAGCAAAGAATAACATCAGGAGATGGAAAGAGAATTAAGACCGCTGCTGAGGCTATGATGCCAAGAACACATAGGGACAATGCTGTAATGACCCTGACAGTGCGAGCTCAGTTAGTGCCTCCATTTCTACACATTCCACCCCATTCTTTACTCCATGGAATGAACTTGTATAAAAAAGGCAGTCAAATTCCTAACTCCTACGCAATGATTAACTTGCGGAAATAACATCTAAAATATTAAAGCTCAAGTAGAACCAAAGAATATGGCTCCTTACTTATATGCCAATAGAATGTACACTGTAGCTTTGTATTCAAGGTTTTCCAAATTAAGGCTCTCGAAGGTTATTTTCTAGAATTTTCTTTATCCAAAACCTATGGTTTCTGAAATCCAAATTATTTTTCACACGCCAGAGATGTATGCATTGGGCTTTTTCACCTCTATAGCTTTGTTCCTATCCATTCTGTCTGGCTAAAATACCCTTCCCAAACCTCCAAGTCCTCTAATTGAAATTATACCCTTCATTCAAGGCCCAGCTGAAATGCAGACCTTGTAGAATGTTTTCTCCGTCACTGCAGCCAGAAGTTAAGTGGCCTCCCTTCTGTATTCATATAGCCCTTAACCACAGGCTACCTTGCATTACAGTCATTACGTCTTACAACCTGTGTTAGAGTATAACCTCCCCGAACGCAGGGGCCACGTGTCACAGTCACATACTTCTAGGGTTAGAATGGCCCTTACAAGCTATCCATTAGAACCTTCTACTCAGTGCTTGAATTCCCTACACAATATCCTGATGAAGTAGTTACCCATCTCCAGAGATGGGGCATCACTGAGTCTTGAGGGAAGCAAACTCATTTATCTTTGGGTCCTTGACAATGCCCAGGACACGTCATGCACGGTGAGTGCTCAGAATGTAATTTTTTCTGAAAAAATTATCTATATATTAAATGCATACACAATGTAAAAAAATGAAAGCTAGGAATGCCACATTATTGTGAAATCTGTTTTTTGGAGCCAATTTCCTCCTCTGTAAAATGGAAATATATTTTCTTCACATCATTGTTGTGAGAATTAATGAAATAACATATGTACAACTCCTAATACACTGAGTGCAATACATGACATTTTAAAACTAATTATTATAGAATCGAATACCTTTCTCAATAATCCTTTTCTCGATCACCGCTTAACTTATCCTAGCTTTTCCTCGGGTTGGGATAGAAGCTCTTTGTGGTGCAAAAATCCAATCCTCTGAATAATTTCTGAAAACTTCTAGTGAGCCCAGAAGAGAGAAGAGATAAATATGATTGCATTAAATTACTTAGAACAGCTTAACATAAGACATTCTAGAATTTTCTAGAGAAAAATGATGACTATCTTTAAATAAGCAACATGAAAGACTGTGAAGGAGATAAAATAATTCTTGGACGCAGAGGGATACAGGACTTCTGGAGTGGATTAAGGGCTGATGCTGATGCCAGGACGTGGAAAATAAAGGGCTCAAAGGGGTTTTCTTTTTCTTTCTCTCTCTTTCCTTCCCTCTCCAACTTCTCTCTTGATTTTCCTTCCTTCTTTTCTTCTTTCTGATGAAACAGTCCATTATTAGAGAGGAAAAGAAAGGAAAGCTAAGTTGATCTGGTGTTGAGAGGAATATTCTGCCAATATAAGTTTTAGATGAAGGACTGAAGGTTGACAGAAAGGAAACAGGAAAAACAGTGTTGAATAGAATAGAATCCATGATGCACTGACAAGAGAGGGATTACTCAGTTTAGGAAAACTGAATGAGAGGGCGGAATGTCTATAATTAGAAAGACAGGCTCATAATGGTAGCTCAATAAGTACTTGTTGAACGAAAGCATAAAAAACTAATTAAATCAGTAAGTGTGAAAAAGATCCTGAATTCAGGAACCCAACGCTGAAAAGAAATCTCCTCTACTTGAGTCCTGAGTATCAAAGTCACCAAGGTCTGCAAAGGTGACGAGGCAAAGGAAAATTTCTTTCAGGGTTGCTTATGGGTATCTTGCTTCATCCCTACCTTCCTTGAATTTGCCCCTGATTCTCTATAGCCCGAGCCAAAGTCTTTCCAGGGCACACACACAGCCTCAGATACTCCTGCAGTCTTACTTTATACCTTTTAACTCTCCTAGCAACAGGCTTCTTTGTGTCATGAGGTCTTTCTCTCAACCATCAATGTGGGACTCACTCCCCGTTTCTGTCTTCTGACATAAACCAGAAACAACTTTGCCAGCCGTGCAGGTTGGAAGGACGGGCGGTGCCATCCATTAGCGCCTGCACGCCCCGTGACAGCCTTCCTCCATTGGAATGTGGCTTTCTACTTCACTCCCTTCCTTTCAGTCTTTTCTCTTTGAAGACACGATTCTGCTCTGTACATCTAACAAAGGCCTCTGGCCAAAAACAGTACTTTTCTGACCTAAGGTGCCCTTACTTCTGGCCCTCCTAATCAATATTTCTTTCTCCTTTAAATCCAAAATTTATATTATTCAAAACTTTGCAGTGAATGGTTCCTTTTTAAACACAGGATTAGATACAAAGCCACTTTTTAAAGAGTTTGTTAGAGTTATAAAACAAAGACTTCGGGAAATTCTCTTTAAGTAGAGGCAATGAAGAGCAGTGGGAATACCACAGCCTTGGCTATTGAGGGGCAGCCTTCTGGACCTGCTCAGCCATTTCCAGGTCCATGACAGAAGCAAGCCACAATCTGCTTAGGGCCACAGTAAATTTTTATCTATAAAATGGAGACAGTAAATATATCTATTGTGGAAAATAATACCCACTTCACAGCATTGTGATAAGGATCACACGAAACAACGTGTTAGAAGATCCTGTAAACACAGTAGCACAATACAAATGTTGGTTATTTCTGGTGTGTGACTGGTGGCCATCCTTTGATTGACACCCTGGACCTCCCACTCAAGTTTGAAGCCTCTGTATTATTTTTCTTTTTACCTAATATAAATTGACTCCCTTGTCTCTGAACTGTCTTTATCATGCCTTTCAGGCCCATGTCTCAAATAACCAACTGCTGGGTCTGTGGACGCTGTTGTAATGCACAGCCTTGCTCTGATCTCGCGGGTAGAATGCCTCTACCCTACTCTGTGAATGAGCTTACTCCATTTGGACCCCAATACTGGCTCCAGAACCCCAGCTTTGACGGAGGGTAATTAGAATTGATGTAACTAGGGACATTTACTCCTTCCAACTATATTATCCCTCATGCTCATGAGTAAAATGAAACGATAATAAAAATCTCAGAGAGGTGAGGGTATTCCCATGTGACTAACTGCCCTCTATTTCTCCCCTCCTTTCCAATTAAGCTTGAAAGAATGGTCTATACTTATAACCCCACTTCCTGGCCTTCCATTTTATTTATTCCTTTTAACTTTTATCAGAGTCATACACACAGTATGAAAAAAAGCAAAATAATGGAGAAAGATTTATAGTAAAAAGCAACAATCCCTTCTCCTTTCAGAGCTTCTAGTGGTTCCCCCTCAACATGAATTAGTATCTTCGTGTTGCTGTTCACTGAGGAATCAATTTGAAACATTATTTATTAAGTCCCTGCTAGGAAAGAGAAGAATTTAGCCTACTTATACTATACACTACTCATTTCAATTTTAGATAGTTATTTCAGTTCTTCTGCTTTTCCTTATGAATCAATGTTGAGGTATAATTTAAATATAAAAAAATAGAACCATTTCGAGTTACATGAGTATTGACAAATGGTACACCCACGTAACCAACATGACTGTCAAGATATAGAACATTTCCATCATCCCAAAAGTTCCCACATGCCCTTTTACAGTCAAGCTCACTCATCCCAACTCCCAGTCCCAGACAACCACTGATCAGCTTTCTGTGACTACACATTAATTCTGCCTGCTTTAGAATTTTATATAAGTGGAATAATACAATATGTACTCTTAGGTACCTGGCTTCTTTCACTCAATAGAAAATGTCTGAAATTCATCCATGTAGTTGAGTTCATTAGTCATTCACTTCTTTTTATGAGTAAGTAGTATTTCATTGTGTGGACACAGTGCAATTTGTTGATCACATGCTGATGAACATCTGTGTTGTTGCCAGATTTTGGCTATTATGAATAAAGCTGCCCTGACAGTTCCTGCACGAGCCTTTCTGTGTACGTTCGCTTCCCCTTTCCTTGGGTAAATATCTAGGCATGGAATAGCTGGGCCACAGGGTAGTGTATATTTAACTTTTTAAAAAGTCTTGCTTTCCTTTCAGTCTCACCCACAAATAGCATGGTTGCTGATAAGTCCTACGCATGTGACAGAAATCGCTACTTCGTGTTTTAGGAGGAGCAGGAGGGGTGCCTGCCTCTGCCTGTTCGGCTAGAGGCGGGAGGAGGCTGCAAACGCTAGAAGGGAGGACGGCTCTTCTCTGAGGTGGAAGCTCATATACCACAGCAGTGGAAGTCTTCCCGTGTTTTCAGTCTCTTTACAGCTGTCTCTGGTTTTTCCCTGGAAGTGAAATGCCTGTAGCACTTTCTGCATGGGGATGAAAGAAGGAGGAGAGAGGCTGTGGAGAGCCAGTTGACACCATCCTTAGGTAGACAGATATTTAGTTGATCCCATCTGGCTCTCCCTTCCTCACTCCTACCCTCCATATTACTGTCTGACTGAGTCTGGCGCCTCGAGGCTCCCTGCTCCTTTGGCAGTACCGGCTGACAGATTCTGAGCTGCTGCTTTCTCTCTCTGATTACCCATCTTCTAGAAATTTGTTGAACTCGCATTTGCTGATGGTCCTCCTGCCATTCTCTTCACTTTTGCTGGGTTTGTTATTTTGGGGGGGTCTTGGTAGAAAGGAGAAAAATGATTATCTTTGGTCTGCAGTCCTCACCCAGAAGTCAGTGGATCTGATTCAGCGTGGCAATCTAGTACTAAATCCTACCACTGGAACTTCCATCGCCAAGCTCACAACGACCCTGCCGAGCGATCCAGTGCAAACCTTTCTGTCTTTCCCACCTGATCTCTCTGTAACATCTGGATAACCTCCCTCCTTCCTGAAATGCTCTTGACTTCCACAATACTACTCTCGCCTGGTTTTCTCCTGCCTTTCTGGCCACTTCTTTCCATCTCATTTCCACACTTCTCATTCTCTGCCCTTAAATATCAGTGGTTCCCAGAGGCGCCACCTTAGATCTTCGTCTTTTCTCACTCTACACACTCTCCCTAGATCTTGTGACCCAGTGTGCTCTTCTAAACCCCACGCTAAACCCCCCCCAACCCCCGAGATGCCTTCCCTTACCCTCCAAGGCTGAGGTAAGTGCCCTGACAAACGTCCCCATAGCACCTAAGAGATTATTCTAGAACTTCTCACACTGCATGATAGTGCCTGTTCCTGAATCTGTTTCCCTCTCTAACCTTATGCTCCCTGGAAGCCCAAGACTGTTTTTCATCACCAGCCAACTCACCTGGCAAGGCAGTTTGTGATGAACAAATATTTGCTGGATTGAATAGACATCATGGGTATTCAAAATGTTTTGTGTTTTATACATGTTATTACTGGTAATAACAGTAAAATTTGTACTTTGAAGGAAAAATTTGCCAAGTAAGATAAACTGCAAGCTAATCACATAAAATCAAGTTATTAATTTGTATAGCATAAGTTAATGATGCTGTGCATAAATTAATTATGCACATTTTCATGTGAAAATTATATCCTCTTCGGGGCCGGCCCCATTGCCGAGTGGTTAAGTTCATGTGCTCCGCTTCAGTGGCCCAGGGTTTCACCAGTTTGGATCCTGGGCACAGACATGGCACCACTCATCGGGCCACGCTGAGACAGTGTCCCACATAGCACAACCAGAGGCACTCACAACTAGAATATACAGCTATGTATTGGGGGTCTTTGAGGAGAAGAAGAAGCAAAAAAAAGATTGGCAACAGATGTTAGCTCAGGTGCCAATCTTTAAAACAATGATATCCTCTTCATTTCTTCGCACCTCTTTAGAGCCAAAACCAATATGGATTTCTCCCATCAAAGAAGTCTCACATCCATGTTCACAACAGCATTATTCACAATAGACAAAAGGTAGAAGCAACCCAAGTGTCCATAAACAAAGTGTGGTCTATATATAAAATAGAACATTATTCAACCCTAAAAAGGAAGGAAATTCTGACAGATGCTATAACATCATGAACCTTGAGACATTATCCCAAGTGAAATAAGTCAGTCACAAAAGGACAAATACTGTATAACTTCATCTATATGAGGTAACCTAGAGTAGTCAAATTCATAGAGAGAGAAAGTGGAGTGGTGTTGCCAGGACAGATGGGGAGGTGAGAACGGGGAGTTACTATTTGATGGGCACAGAGTTTCAGTTTGCAGGACGAAGAGAGTTCTGGAGATGGATGACGGTGATAGTTGCACAACAATGAGAATGTACTGAAGGCTGCAGAACTGTACACTCAGAAATGGTTAAGATGGTAAATTTAATATTATTTATATTTTACCACAATTAAAAAGAAAATAAAATAAAAAGTCTCACACACAAAAATACTATATTTTATCAAAACATCTTCCAAACAAAATTCTAACCTATGTCTAAAATTAAAAAAATTAATCAAACTCCAGAGAGAGTAAGAAGAGGTATGGTAATTACGAGAAATACTATGAAGGATAAAAATAGAACCAGAGAATAACATCCATAATAACAGCTGCCATCTATGCAGGCTCATTAGACGGCAGGCACTGCGCTAAACGCTTTACACAGATTAATTCAAAATGACTACAAGAGACAAGGGAGCGATTACGTCACTTGCCACTGGTCCCACAGCTAAAAAGTGGCAGAAATCGTCCAATCCCAGGTGCTCGCAAGCCCACACTCTGACCCTCCATCTGCCTGGAGTCTTTGGGATCAGAGGGCTGGTGAGAAGCAGACATCAAGACTTTCCCTAAGCATTCGAACTTAAGGGTAATGAAAACAAAATCAATGATCTATGGAGTACCTTTTACACGCCTAGCATGCGTGGAATGAACGAGACTAAAATCGGATGACTTTTTGGGGAGGCAGACACGTGTATAAATAACAAGGCAGTCCCTACCAGCCGTGAGCTGCCTAAGAAGTAGGTACAGAGGAGAGAATGTCTGACACGGAGCGTCTCACCCAAACCTACACCATTCCTGGCAACACAGGTGCAGAATCAATATTGACTAAGTGAAATAAAATCAGCCTATAAAAATGTACTCCATCTCCAAATGTATTTGAAAACAAAAAGATCAACTTTGCTTCCTTCCTCTCAAAGAGAAGAAATTTAACAGATTATGGCAATCACTGACATTCAAATCACAACAAAGAAGACACTGACTTTTGGTTCAGATTATACTTTAAACAACAATGTTACAGGCACCACATTTTACAATGTTCCCATATTAAAGATTCTAAGAGGCAGATAATGATTGCATGCAATTTAAACGGCCACACTAAATTCACAATGCAACTTGAATAGCTTCACCTTTCTAGAGAGATTGAGAGATTATGAGAACTCAGACTCTGGAGTGATCTACTCTGAAAATTCAGAATCAAGAAGCTTCTCTTACATCTTCCCACTGTCCTGTAGTTCTCTCCAGACTTAACATCGATCCCACATCATCCTAAGAAAACACGTGCTAATGTGTTAATGCCAAGATCTGGAGATACGTGTCTTACTTCCAGAGGCTTAAAATAATTGCTACTTGCTATGCTTACCTTGAAAATGAAATTGGCACCTTCTATTCTAAGATATCAAGTTACTTTTTTTCACTGCACTTTTCAGAAATTTTATGTGAATATATACCATACCTTGTTCCAATATCAAGCCAGCTGCCATAATCCCTGACCAAGAAGAAAAAATGCTGTAAAATAAAGCAAAATTTGGCTCCATTAAAAACAAAGGCTTTTAGAGTCAGTCAAAAAACAATGTTGTTTTAGGATTAAGTTTCAGATTTCTGACCCCTCAGAACCACTCTCTGATTGGAATCAATAAGAATATGCCCTTTATTGAAATCTTTGCTTGGACTGAAATGAGCAATAGCCTAAAAGCTAGAAATAGCATTACCATTAAATCAAATGAACACAAAAGTGACATCTGTGAATAACTAGAAATAAAGAAAATCAACTTTAATAAAGGACACTAAGTAATACCAAAGACCTCATTGAAGAGAAGCCATATCATCCAATTATCGACAAATATCTACTGACAGCCTACTATGAGCTAATCATCGTGTTAGGTCCTGGAGATAAATTCTTTTTCAGGAGGTGTATAATCTAGTGAATGATTCAGTCAAATTATCAGGGGTGTGTGTGTGTGATGAGCGTTATCATTGGAAAATACAGGCAATTATGGGAGCTTACAGGAAGGGGTCCACACCCTGACTGGGGTATAAAAGAAGGCTGCCCTAATAAAAAGTCTAAAGATCTACGTGAAAAGCAGAGTTCAGACGAAAGAGGAGGTTGGGGAGACGGAGGGAGAAGTATGTTTCTGACAGAAGGAGTAACCTATATAAATGTCAAGAGTCCAGGTAGAGCTTGGCAGGTCCAAGGTGAGGTTGGTGTGGAGAAAACAAGGAGGGAGAGGGGAGAGATGATGCCAGTCAAGTAAGCAGAAGCCAGACCACAAATGGTTTTCTATGGTTTTCTATGCTAAATTAAGCAATCTGACTCTTTATATAAAATTAAATAGAAAATTTAAACTCTTTTCTATTAACATGTCTATTTGACACTTTGTGAGCAAAACTGAAAGCTGATTTGTTCTAATGTTATGTTTGGTCAGTTTCAGAAATATATTGGATATCCAGTTCAATACAACACAAAATTGCTGTCATCTGAATCAAGTGACTAGGAATCTGATTTGGAAATTACCCTAATTGCTTCTAGCATAGGATGTTCTGTAGTGAAGAATTAACCTTACCCAAGAGCTCTGGCCTTTGCCTTAAGCTACTGGGAGGTGTTTTCTAGGCCCTTGGAATGTCCTGCCTGAGAGGAGGGTCTTGCCTGGGGGGCCTTAGCTACGAGGACAGTCTAATAGCGTGATTTATGTTGGGGGCTTTGGGCCATGTTATCAGTTCTACCTGTAGAAGGATGCAGATTAAACGTTAGCCATGGGAACAATATGTGACTGAGCCTCAATCAAAGGTCTGGACACCAAGGCTCTGGTGAGCCTGGCTGGCAGTACTCCGTGTGCACCGTCACACATCAACACTGTCCTGACTCCACAGGGAGAGGACGACCAGAGCTCCACACTTGGACTGCTCTTTGACTCTACCCTCTCTCTCTCTTCCTTTGGCTGAATTTAATCTGTATCCTTTCCCTGTAATAAACCATACATGTGAACATCACAGTCTTCAGAGAGTTCTATGAGTCCATCTAATGAATTACCAAACTTGACGGTAGTTTTAGGAACTCCCTGAACTTGCAGGTATAAAATAGGTTATTTTTGTTAGTATGTACACTAGATACAAGAGGCCTGCCTACATGCTCCTCACTCAGAACTCATTTATTTGAGCTATCATCTCGGCAACATCTTCCCACTTGAAAAACTCTATTTCCTCTTTCCTTCCTTCCCTTCCTCCCTTCCTTTTTCAATCTGAAAAAAGGGATTAAAAAATCCATGTTTCAAGTAGGAAAATGATGTATTATCTAAATCTAAAGTTAGCTTCTTATGTTAACTTTTTAGGGAGGTCCATTTCAGACACAATGCACCCTGGAAGACTAGGTATAAAATGACAGATTTGAATAAATCAAATAAGAAGACTTTTGACACCTAAAAAAGAGCACTCTTACTATAATAAGTCACATAAAAAGAAAGTAATTAATATATGTAAATTATGCCAGCACTTATAACTCAATATTTAAAGATTTCATGTACAGAAATGCATTCATATTTCTCTTGATTTTTTTTTTTTTTTGAGGAAGATTAGCCCTGAGCTAACATCTGCTGCCAATCCTCCTCTTTTTGCTGAGGAAGACTGGCCCTGAGCTAACATCCATGCCCATCTTCCTCTACTTTATATGTGGGACACCTACCACAGCATGGCTTGCCAAGTGGTGCCATGTCCGCACCCGGGATCCAAATTGGCGAACCCCGGGCCGCTGAAGCAGAATGTGTGCACTTAACCACTGCACCACGGGGTCGGCCCCCATCTTTCTCTTGATTAAATTAACTCAGCCCTTAGCTTCTCAATCTTATTTATACGGAATATCCAAGAATGACTTACCAAAGCCATAATGTCTGATATGACGAGAACCATGAGGAAAAGACTGGAAAAAAATAAAGAAAAATTACACATAATATAGCAGGCACATTGTTAGAGCACATTAAAAATCAAAATGAGAATAATCAAGTAACCCAATATTCTGTTAGTGTTTTTGCTTCTGAAAATAATACTTTCAACAAAAGCCCCTATCACATTATCATGGACTACTGTCCCACAGGGATGAGTTGGACTCTAAAAATGTTATTTAACACTATGACTATTTATTTCAATGGTATGAAAGAGACATGAATTATGATTTTTTTTCTTGGTGAGGAAGATTGGCCCTGAGCTAACATCTGTAGCCAATCTTCCTCTTTTTGCTTGAGGAAGAGTGGCCCTGAGCTAACATCTGTGCCAATCTTCCTCTATTTTGTATATGGGATGCTGCCATAGCATGGCTTGATGAGTGGTGTGTAGGTCCATGCCCAGGATCCAAACCCACGAATCCTGGGCCACCGAAGTAGAACATGCAAACTTAACCACTACACCACTGGGCCTGAGTTATGATTTTTTAGTTAGACTTTTTATTCTAGATGATCGTAGAATCATGCGCAATTGCAAGAAAGAGATAATAGAGGGATCCATATTTCCTCTGTCCAGTTCCCCCAATGGCACTATCTTACAAAACTATAGTATAATATCACAACCAGGATTTTGACACTGATACTTTCAAGATACAGAATGTTTTCATCATCATAAGGATCCCTCGTGATACTGTTTCATAGCCACATCTAACCTCCTCTCCTAACTCCTGCCTAACTCCTAACCCCTGGCAACCACTAATGTGTCCTCCATTTCTATACTTTTGTCATTTTAAGAATGTTGTATAAGTGGAATCATTTCTATAACACTCTGTCACCTTTTGGGATTGACTTTTTTCACCCACCCAATTCCCTTGGGATTGATCTGAGGTGCTATATGTATCAATAGTTTGTTCCTTTTTATTGCTGAGTAGTACTCCATTGTATGGATATACCACAGTTTGCTTAACCATTCAAGCACTGAAGGACATCAAGGTTGTTCTAGTTTGTGGCCATTACATAAGTTTTCCTTTCTCTAGGAAAAATACCCAAGAGTGCAATTGCTGGATCATATGGCAGTCACATCTTTTCAGAGTTGTTGTACCATTTCACATTTCCATTAGCAATGTATGAGAGCAATTTCTTTGCATCTTCACCAGCATTTGGTGATGTCACTATTTTTTATTTTAACTGTTCCAAAAGTCATATAATGATACCTCATTGTGGTTTTAATGTCCTTAATGGCTAATTATGCTGAACATCTTTTCATTGGCTTCTCTGCCATCTGGATATCCTCTTCAGATATTTTGCTTATTTTCTAATTGAATTGTTTGGTTTTCCTGCTGAATTTTATGAGTTCTTTATATATTCTGGATAGTAGTCCTTTGTCAGATAAGTGGTTTGTAAATATTTTCTCCCAGTATGTACCTTGTCTTTTCATTCTTTTAACAGGGTTTTTTTGTAGAGCAAAAGCTTTTAATTTTGATGAAGTCCAATTTGTCAGTTTTTCCTTTCCTGGATCATGGTTTTGGTATCATGTCTAACTCTTCTCCTAGCCCAAATCGCAAAGATTTTCTTTTATTTTTTTCTAAAAGTTTAAATTCATGATCCATCTTGAGTTAATTTTTATATAAGTATGAGGTTTTGATCAAGGTTTGTGATTTCTTTTAAAGAAATAATAGATTTTCTGTCTACAGGTTTGCAGTACAGAAATGTAACTCAATATGTATCCCATATATGCAGATATATACCACAAGTCAGACTTGTGAAATCTTACAGAAATAGTATCATTCAAAATAAATCTGATATAACAGACGAACAATAAAGTGTCTTAATCTGATTAAGAGTTTGTAGAGAACACAATGGTCATCCAGTACAACCTTCTACCCAAAGCTCGAATTCCCAAAGTAACGATCCCAAATATGAAGGCTTTGTCCAGCACTAGCTTTAGTGGTTCCAGTAACAGAATCCACTCCATTTTAGACAGCTCCAACTATTACAAAGTGCTTTCCTTCTCTGAATCATAATCAGTGAAACAAAAATTCCACCCTAAGGATCCAGTTCTTCTAGAACAAGAGAAAAAAATAAACACAATTTAAATGCAACAGACCTTAAAATGTCTCTTTTAAAGTTTTGTTTGATGTTTTTAAATGTAGTTTTTCTAAAGCAAATTATTTTATTGTATGACACAGATGATGTTCTAGAATCCTTTTGAGGTAAGACATACTTGGTTAAGTACTTACTGTCTTCTCAGCCTCAGTTTCCTTAGCTATAGAATGGGCATAATAATATCTACTTCACTGTATTCTTGGGAAAATTAAGTCAGGTAATACAGTGCCTGCATTTGGTAGGTGCCTAATATATACTGGTTTCTTTCCCACTCCTTGTAACAATCGCTTTAGATAAAATTAAAGACAAAATGAAAGATACGATCTCTGCCCTCATAGAGTTCAAAGGGTGTGTATTAGTTTGCTAGGGCCGCCACAACAAACTACCGCAGACCAGGGGGCTTAAACACCAGAAACTTCTTTCCTCACAGTTCTGGGGGCTAAGTCTAAGATCAAGGTGTTGGCAGAGCTGGTTTCACTCTGAGGTCTCTCTCCTTGCTTTGGAGATGGCCATCTTCTGCCTCTGTGTTCACATGGTCTCTCCTCCGTGTGTGTCTGTGTCCTAATCTCCTCTTCTGAGAAGGATGCCGGTTATACTGGGCTAGGGTCCACCCACACCACCTCATTTTACCTTAATTATCTCTCTAAAGGCCCTATTCTTGAAACACAGTCACATTCAATGTATGAATTCTGGGGGGACACAATTCAGCCCACAACAGGGTGTGAAACAGAAAAGCAAGAAATAGTTTTATCACTCTATGAGTAACCTAATTTAGCTAGGAATTTGAGGGTGGGGCAGCTGGGTAAGAAAAGTTTATCAGAGAACATGATGTCTGATCTCAGCCTTAATTAACACAAAGGAAAAAGCTTTTCCAGGGCAAATCTTCATAGCTTGAACCGTTCTATGCAAACAGAGGGAAAGAGAAGTAGGTTGCCCAAGGTCACACAGCTAGTAAGAGGGCAGTCTTTCAACATAGCAAGTTTGGCCTTGGAGCCTGAGCTCCCAACCATTATGCACTTAGGGCATACTGACTCCCAGAAGCCTTCAACGTGCTCATCACTTTCCTTTGAATGTGTTCCTTGTTTATTCACATATTGTTCAAATAAGAAGGCACAAATGTAACACACTGTTCAATATTCATGGTGATAAAATCACCATGAAAGTAGGATGGCATTATCACTCTTTTTGTTCTGGATACAATATTTCTATTAAAAGCAGGTTAGTTTTATGGTATCATTTTATCTCTAGGATGTTTTGAAACTGCTAAGCATCTAGATCCTATGAGGTTGCCCCATGAATACTCTTTGATTCAAGAAATAAATACATGCTACTGGGTTTTTATCCAAATTATAATGAATATTACCTCCACCAACCCACCGTGAGTGTTCAGCTGCAATGATCTCTTAACTGATCTCCTTGATTTTACTCTTGTCCCCCTAAAGTTATTATCCACACAACAAAGGACCCTTCAAAACCTTCCAATGGCTTCTTGCCACAATGAAGAGAAATTCTGAAATCCTAACTATGGCCTACATGGCTCCATATGATCTGGCCCCTGCCTACCTCTCCAACCTTATTTCCTACAACTCTTCTGCTAGCACACTCTGCTTAAGGCTGGCCCTCTTGCTGTTCTTCAAACACACCACGCACGTTTTCACCTCACACCCTTTTATGTTCAGCACTCTCTTTATCTGCAATGCTCTTTACTCATATAGTTTATGGTTCACTCTCTGTTTATTCAGGTTTCTCCTCCTCACAGAGGTCTCCTCTGATCAATCTATTTTTCTTCCTGACATTTAACACTACCTGACATTTTATTGTTATTGCAAGTATTTTATTTGTTATTTGTCTCCCCAAGTAGATGGTAAGCTCTATTTACCCATGTATCACCAGCAGCTAGAACAGTGCTGGCATATAGTAGAAACTCAGAACACCTGTGCTGAATGAATGGTAAAAGTTATCAGAATAAAATAAAATTGAAAATGGCTAATACTACACATCCTGACATTTTTTTCAGACCTAAGTCTAACTTAAGAAGCTTTTCCTTTTGGTTTCATAGGACACTAAAAAAATTTTAGGAAAATTAGGAACCTAGGAAAACCTAGGAAAAATCAGACTTGGGAGCAACACCACCAAATAGTACTGTAAAAAGCTAAAACCACACAGAGTGAAATCCATAACTGACAAAATAATGATAGAAAAGCAAATCTTCTTGACGAAAACCAGATCTGTAATATCTGACTTAGGTAAATTAGACCTAGTAGAGATAATAACCATAAATTAGTACAAGGCACGAGAAAAATAGCTTTTTGGGCTGCTAGATCACATTATTGACCGCTTCGAGTTTGTTTTTCAATTCCTACTATTTAGCCATGGCTTTCTTGTACAGTTGAGTATTTAATTAAATACAGAACTAATTTATTATCCCTTTTAGATCTCATTATTTGGTTGCTTCTTGGACACTTCTATAATTCTAAGAAAACTTTTTCCTCTTTCTCAGTTGCCTTCTAATACTCTTCCATGCTTTGTTGCATTCTGAAAGTGATAGAGGTCTTCAAGGTGAAATGGACTGGCCTCAAAATATCTTCCTTAACTGTGACGGACACTTTTGGTTCGCTGTTTCCCACCCCAACTCCAAACCCAACTCCCTTTTCTCTGACCACCTTCCAGTTGAGAATGAATGTGTACCAGTTACAGTTCTGGCCTTTGAGACATAATCCGAAATCTGTTGGATGGGGCGTTTGGGAAAGACATTGCTTCCCTGATGGAAAGAGAGAATCAGCTGACACATCTCTTTGCCTTTTTCCTCATCAGTGCTTTCCCTTTCTTCCTACCTGGATGGCAGATGTGATTCATGGAGGTCTGAGGAGAAAAGCCAACACCCTAAGAGTGGGAGGGCAGAAAGGCATGGATGCTGATGACATCACACTAGTCTGGACTGCCAACTTCTAGACTCCATGTTATGTGAGGCACACAAATCCCTATTTCTCTCAGCTACTGTTAGTTATGTGAAAATTAATAAAAGAAACCTTAACCAAATCAGAGTTGGGAAGGCCTGTAGGGGGAATTCTCACACATACACCATCAATTACACCAAACAGGAAGAGATGCACTTGCATTTTGGACAGGAAGTAAAACTACTTTACTACTGAAAGAAGATTTCTCTCCCCATCAGGCAACGGCCCAGGCAATGAGAAATGATGCAGCTCAGCCAATGAGAAGCTGTTGCAGCCCTGAACTGTTACTTTGCCCCAGTGGACTTTCTTTTAGAACAGTTCCTTCCTACTTCTCCTTTTCTCTATAAAAGCAGCTCTCGTCCTTTCCTTTCCAGATTTGCCTATTGTTCGCCATAGCATGCATATTTTGAATTGCAGTTCTTTTGACTATTCTCAAATAAACTCATTTTGAGATAAAATAATAGCCAAATTTGATTTTCAAGTTGACAGATTTTCATTACTTGCAGCCAAAAGCATTCCTAACGGATTAACCATTAGGTAATCTTCATGCCCAGATACTTCCTTTCAGTGGCCTCTATCAAAAATACACAAGTCTTTGTTGATGAAGCCAGTTATCAAGACTGAGAAACTAGATAAATTATTGGTATTTAGAAAAGTTAATTTTAAAGTAATGCAAAATAAAATGATGCTAACACAGCTCTACTTCACCTTTGTTTGATACATAAAGAATAGGTTGGAAGAAAAACAGTTAGGATCATCTCACTGGTTTGTTACATTGAACTCATCCTTGGCATTATGGATCTAATAAGCAAGTCTTTCAGTCCCATCTTAACCATTAGGCTTTCAAGAATTGTGTTGTAAGAAAATGTTTAGCAACATAAATTATGAGACTAAAAATGTGGATAGAAAGGAGAGATGATATCAGTGATATTTAGTAAATGGATGTGGCAATGAGAGACGGATGGACTTACGCTTGTGTGATGGATTAGATAAAGAAAACAGGATAGAAGCTAGTTTTCAAGAAGCTTTCAGGAAGAAAGGGAATTGCTGGGTTCAATGTGTGACATATTAAATTTGAGGGGTCAGTGTGACACTGAGGGAGAAATGTCAGTGACTTGTAAAGATTTAGAGGTCAAAAGAAGACATTTACAAAGCCTCAACTTCATCATCTTTCCCTGAGTTCTCTCTGCTTGTTTAGTTTTCCATTGCACTAGTCTCAGGATAGAAATACTACACACACACACACACACGTGCATACAAATATATGTATATACACACACATACATACACACATTCTGATGAGCCTTCTACTTCTCATTGAACGTGTCTCCAGCTCTTATTTAAATCTTAATTAAAATCTGTTCTTAAAAACGTGTCTTCTAACAGATATGCAAGAAAGTACATGTCATTTACCACTTTTCTATTGCATCTAAGTAACTTTTACATGATACTGACAAGGTACAAATGCTTTCAATGTTAAACTCATATAAATATCCTGCAAAAATATACTAAATTAAACTGGAAACGAAATTTCTACTATTTTTAAACAGTGGAAGAAAACCTTTTCTTTATTATGGCATATGCACAATAATATGCTAAACTCAGTTCTAGCTTAAATTCATCAAGAAGAACAAGCAAATATACACTAATATTAGTTATTTCTTTCGGCACTGAATATGCCAGTTTGATTCAAGAATAACAAAACTGCTAAGAAGCTTCATATTTATCTCAAGTGTCTCTCAGAGCGGCAGATGAGTCCTCTGCTGATGAGGCAATTTTATTGTTAAAAAAGCAAATAGTTGAGCTGACAGCTTCTGTTCCAAAGTCTTCACTGCTTAAGACTGACTTCTCCAGAACTTGCTCAAAACTCAGAAAGAATACTTTGCATTCCATTTGTCAAATGTGTAGAAATCAAGAAAGAGAAACTACGTAAGTCATTGACATTTAGAACAGCTAATTTCAAGCTATGTAAAATGAAACGCTGTTAACACATTTGTTTAATACTTATTTAAGAAACAGCCCCAAAGAAAGCAGCCAGAATATTCCTTGTTTTCTGAAGGCACAGTTATATCTACAACAAACAAGTCACTAACTACAAGAATTTAACATTTAAGTTTTACAGTTTTCTAGAAGGCTCTTCACTAGCTTGAATAATATTCTAACAACATTTTATTGCTGAGAAATCATATTTGTCTGCTAGAGGCTCTAATCGTCTAATCTCCTCCAATGATGACTGAACCCTGACTAAAAGGGTAAACGCTTTTTCTCATTTTTGTAATAAACAATCTTAGTGTCCTAATACCAGTCACATGAAATACCCTCAAATGTTTACGCTCATTTCCTAAAAATGGGCAAATCCAACGCTTCTTAAACATTCATCTTACCCTTTTGATGATAACTGGGTAGTTAACTGAACTGCTTCAAAAGCACACATCACAAGAACAAAGGGGATTAAAATCTGTTTAAAAGAACAACAAATGATGCCATGGGTAGTTGAAGCATTTGAACACTTTTTGAAATGAATATTATTTCTGTTTATAGAAATATTTCAACTTTTCAAATAACTTATATATATTAGTGAAGAACAAGCATTGAAATAAAACTATACCAATGACATATAGAACAGTGATGAAATTAATTTAAAAATCTACATCGATAACACGTAGTATAAAAGATAACATATCTACAGGCATTCCAAATAAAATCTATTACAAATTTTTGTTCTATTTAACTCATAAAAATTAATGACCATGTTCAAATGATTCCAAGAGGGCGTGAAAGGCACAGAACGCCCAAACCAAATAAATTATAGAGCCTGATAATTTGATTCACAAATCCCTGAACCCACCCAGATAGTTGATACTACAACTCAATAAACATGACTTAGCTGCTTTACTACCACTTTTTGTTGTTTTAATACTAATTTATTTCTGATTATAAAATTCACAGTTACTGTAAAAAATCTGAATAAATAAATAAAGGTATAATAAAATTTATACTGGTTGAAAATCCATAATCCAGAACTAACAGTGTTAATATTTTGAGATACAGTCATGTGTTGCTTAACGACAGGGATAAGTTCTGAGAAATGCAGTGTTAGGTGATTTCATCATTGTGCAAACATCATAGAGTCTACTTTCACAGACCTAGACAGTATAGCCCACTACACACCTAGGCTACATGATACAAATCTCATGGGACCATTGTCGTATATGTAGTCTGATGTTGACCAAAATGTCGTTATGCAGCACATGACTGTACATGTTTTTTGGGTTTTTTTGAGGTATAACACACATATAACACTTATTAGTTTCAGGTTTACAACACAATGATTTGATGTTTGCATATATTGTGAAGTGAGAAACAACACATGTTTTAAAATAATTCAATAGAGAATGGGACATGAGAAATTGTTGAACATCTTTTTAACATTTCTTAAAATCACATTTGTATTAGTGCAGTAACAAAAAAAAGATACTAGTCTCATTAAGAGAACATACCTTTGACAATTATTACTTATGTGATCTGAACAGAAAGCAATCAGATTTTAGGTAGTTATTACTTTACTTAAACAAATATATACTAACTATGTAAAATGTGCCAGGCACTATGGTAGAGGGAATAGGACATGCATAATGACCATGGATTACATTCCACTGGAGAGTCTGAGCCCCTGGAAAGCTGAAAATTTGTCATAATCTTGGTATCCTCAAGCACCCAGCTGGTGGCAGGCGCATTACTAAATATAAGCATTCAATGACATATTTGTTGAAGGAATGAATCAATTCTAAGTACATGGATTATGAGAAAAGATTATGACATGTTGGCAGTCTCATGGGTGGGGAACATGGGTTCAGGGAGCCATAGCTCTTGAGGAGTAATGAAGTTTTGATCTACACTGCACTTCCCCACAGGCTTTAATCACCTTTGATAGAACTTCCCAGACTAACACAGAATCTCTACTCTTTTGAAGTTAAATGGGCTTAAAAGTAAAGTAAAAAGATCAACTATATTTTGGAGTAAAGGCTGGAGGGTCCCACCTCCTGCTCAGCAGTATCTTGGAAGGTATCTTCTTTCCATGCTATCTAACACTATCACAAAGACTTTATAATCTTAATGCCACAATGAGTTCATAATCTTAATCAGTATCTTAATAAAATAATAAAACCAGAAAACTAACCTTCCACATCATCAGGGCTCCCATGATAAAGGGACTAAACACGGTCAGAAAGCAATAGACAGAGGTAACATCAAAGCTAAGGAACCAACACAAAGAAAAAAGATTTTAGAAGTCACATGGTAACTTTAAAAGAATGTTCTGCAAACAAAGGACATTTAAACTAATTTTCTGAAATGTACTCTTACTAAAACAGAAGCATACATTGTATCAAGGAACATTATGAAGCCACTAAAATGAATAATGTAGAGCTGTATGTGCTGATATATATGAACTTCCAAAATACATCCTTCAGTATAAAAATATACAGAACAAAATCCAATTTGTATTATTTTTTGTTTATATATATGCTGTTTTCATCTAAAATTACCTGTTAACAGAAGCTATATTCCCAGTTCCAAAAAATGCTGTCACTAAGAAGAAAACCTAAATAGAGTTAAGGAAATGCCAAAACAAGTCAGAATGCATACAAATTTCTTTTTCATTTAGAAAAGAAACACCTATTCTACCATGAGGGTAATTTGCTTTTTCACTTGTACACTGGATCATCAATTGTTGTAAATGAATCTTCTGTCATATCTCCTTATGAATGCATTTTGAAAGAACCAGATTAAAGAAGCAATGTACTAAGAACAATGAGGCCTGAGAGAGGTCATCCTCACTTGTCTCTGGTAACCTTGGGAAGGCTACTATTTTCCTCTTCTCTAACGTAAGCAAGTCAGATTATCGTATCTGTAGATGGCCGCCAATTTTTCAGAAGGAGAACACAGACCCAGCACATGTATAGACATTTTCTTCTGAAATACTGTTTCAGTTCATATATGCTTGCTCTGCGCCCAATATAGAAAGAAATAAGAAATCAAGTTTTAAAATAATTCAATAGAGAATGAGCCATGGGAAAATGTTAAACATCTTTTTGACATTTCTTAAACTTACATTTGTATTAGTGCAGTAATAAAAAGAAGACATTAATCCTATTGGTGTCTAAGAACTTACTGCTAGTACAGTACTTAAAATACTGCCTGGCCCACTGAAAGGGCTCAATAAATGTTAGCTATTTATTATTATACACACACACACAAAAGTAGTATAGAAACACGCAAGAGAAAATGTGACTCATGACAACGTTCAGTGAAAAAGTGGCATTTCAGTTGGTGATTTGAGCCTTAAATGTATTCACGGATCCACTCATTCAACCAGTCAACTCATCAACCAACATTTATTGTCTAGTATATGTCAAAGGCAGAGCTAAGCACTAAGAACATAAATCTGAATAAAATAGTCTCAAAGTGCTCATATGGTGACTAAAATTATGACAATATGGAGAAGAATATGAGAGGAATTTTAAGGTAAACAGCAGAAAAATAAATGACATAGTCAAGAAACAGTAAATACGTGTGATAGAACCTTAGGGTTTATTGAAGGATAAAGAGAAAGATGAAGCAAGAAATATAGTTGGTGGCATACTAATAAAAAGCCTTCAACTTTATTGTGGAGACAATGAAGAGCTAGCAAATATTTTAGGTGAGTGATATAAAAAAGAAATAACAGTGACAGTGAGATATTCAGATAAAGAAGACCAATAATTAGAGGCAGGAAATCCCATTATGAAACTATTTCAATAGTCCACGTTAGGGACAGGGAAAATCTGAACTGATGCAGTGGGAGCAGAAAGGAAGAACGAGGGGAGACTGTGGGACTTTAGAAATGGACAAGGAGCAGCTAAATATGACAAGTTTGATGGCCTAGGTGGTTGGGAGTATGGCAATGCCATTAAATGAGATGAGGCCTGCCAGAGAGTGACTTTCCAGAGGAGTGGGCAGTTTTTAAGTCAGTTTGGGACATACATTTGGTGATGCTCAGCAGGATGTTGGACATTTGGCTCTTGAGGTCAGGAGAGAGGTCAAGGCTGGGGAAGTAGATCTCAGAGTTGTTTGCACAGAGGTGTTGGTCAAAGATACAAGAGAGGATGACATTATCCAGGCACAGGAAGAAGCAAAAGTTAATGATAGAGCTCAGAGAAAAACCTGTCAAAAGATGAGACAAAGGAAGAGTAAGTTTTAGTGAAGGAGAATGGAGATGATATAAAAAGCTAAGAAAAGAACCTGGATAGTGTCCTGGAAGTCAAGGGAAAAGAAAGAGAGAAATCTAATAGAGTTGAATGTTATAGAGTGGTCAAGTAACACTGAATAGATTGGACTGGGCAATCAGGAAGCCCCACCACTGAGAGTATAGCTTCAGTAGAAACATCTGACAAACACTCACAGAGCTCCCATGTACAATACTACTAAGTGCCAGGCGCCATTCTAGGCTTGAGGACATAGCATATAAATGAGTAAGAAATGGTAGCAGCAACTATAGATTCTTCTTTCAAGGAGCTTGGTAGTAAACAGGAAGGAGAAGATGAAATTATAATTTATGGAGATGCGGGGTTCAAGGGAAAAAGTGTTTTATTAGTAGAGGCTGAGTGGCAGGAACTTGCAAAAAGGGAAAAAAAAAAATTGAGAGTGAAAGCAAGAGATAGAGGAAAGAATGCGAACATTTATCTTCTGGACCTATAAGGTCCAGACCTTGCACCATGGTAAGCTCAAAGGAAATGTTTCCCTGTGAATTTTTTGAAGCTGGTCAGCCAGCCTTCTCAAAATGAGACCTTACTCTGCCATATTGTCTTTGAAACTTCTAACACTAATAACTTTCATACAATACTGCCTCTGATGTGATCCAAAAACTGTGTGCGATAGATGTTACATAACACGAGCATAGTGTAAAATACACATAGAAAGATACAAACCAAACTCATAATCGCGGTTTCTTCAGGATGAGGGAAATCAGATTGGAAGCTAAGAGTTGAAAGAAGACTTTGGCTATAGCTGTAATGTTTTAATTTTTTTTAAATGTGTGACATGTGACAAAATATTAATTATTGATAACTTGGATGGTAGAAATACACAAATATACATCGTTTGTTACATCATTCTTTATGCTTAGTTTTATGCTTTATACTATAGCTCCAAGAAGTTTTAAAAACCGTGAGCCATAAGGGAAAATTATGGTTGAGAGGAGGGTTAAATGGCTTCTCAGGTAAGACCACTATTAAGCAACAGGCAGAAAGACCTACCACGTGTTCTTACTCCATTAGATGGGAGGTTGAGCATCTTTAAACAAAAGTCCAAACAAAGGATACAAGGAAAAAGGCCCTCCGGATGTCATCCAGACAGAGCTGTCGGAGCTGGGTTAGATCAGTATTATAGATGAACTGGATACTGTTGACCTGTGAGACAACGAGCAATATGTGAAGGCACAATAGCAGCTCGCCTCCTTCTGCCCTCAAAGGCAAACTTGCAGTCTCAGTCACACTAGCTAGAAAGATACTCTGCACTGACAAAAAAACCCAGCAATAAATCTTTTCCTATAGCTTAATTATACCTTAATAAAATCTGTCAAAAGGCAAAATACGTTGCTAATAATATACCGAACAGAGTTGTAGTATATGTAACAAAAATGAGAATTGGATTTTTTCTTATCCTATATAAATGCTTCACCTTTAAATCCCTATATAATTCTTCCCTTTTCTAAGACCTGATTTCCCAGAGTGTCCTGATCTTCTCAAACCCAGGTATGGTATGATATTAAAAAGCATGGGTAAAATTAAATATTTTTTTGTTTCTTTGTTCTTCTGATAATTCAAAATATCCCTGTCTTTGGTAAAATATAAAGTCACTCAATTCCAACAAGTTGGACGTACTCTTGCTTAATCCCTCTCTCCCTAAAAACGAAAAATTCATGGGTGAGTTTAAAGAGAGACTTTCCCCATTCCCGACTCCCTGTGTAATTTTCTAGTAAGTTCTTAGGATGCTTTAATACTTTTCTAAAACAAGACATCCTTTCAGTTAAAAAACAGAATTAAAAAAATGACACAATAAACCTCATTTTACATTTAACATTTATTTAATATTAAAATATTTAATATTAAGGACAGTTTGACCATTTACTTGAATCTGATCAAAACTGCTTTTCATGTATTATGTTAATATTCCAGGGCTGAAAGTTAAAAACCAGTAATTATTCAATATACTTCAATAAGATTTCTTCTTTATTGAAATTAATTATTCTAAACTATCAATTACTGTCTGTAAATTCAACTGGAACCAGTTAAGAATGGATGAACTCTGACGGTGTTTTTCTCAATATTCATTTCATCTGACCTCAGCAAAACTGCAAATATTCTATTGCCAATTTCTTATAATTACCTTCAGTTCTAAAACAAAGGGAAGAGACATCAATTTACCTCTCTGGCTCAATAAAAAGGTCTTAAAATGCAGTTGGCTTTTAGCCAGTTCAAAGTATATTGTGTTGAATAAACAGTCTAAGATTTAGACTGAGGTCACAATCAACAAGGTGACAGAACAAGCATTTTGGAGGAGGATGTCTAGAAAGAGAAAAACACTGGGAAGATAACTGTCACTTTATGATCAAATTTATAAATTGACTTGCAACAACATAAATATTCTTCCAACTAAAATAAATTGAAAAGAAGAAAGATTAGATTTGAAAACAGATGAAAATAAGATAAAGAGCATTCTTTCTCCTCCATTCCTTCACCTATATTGATATTTTTTTTTTTTAAGATTTTTTTATTTTTTTTCCTTTTTCTCCCCAAAGCCCCCCGGTACATAGTTGTATATTCTTTGTTGTGGGTCCTTCTAGTTGTGGCATGTGGGACGCTGCCTCAGCGTGGTTTGATGAGCAGTGCCATGTCCACGCCCAGGATTCGAACCAACGAAACACTGTGCCGCCTGCAGCGGAGCGCGCGAACTTAACCACTCGGCCACGGGGCCAGCCCCCCTATATTGATATTTTTAAAGTGATTCTCAATTTCTAAGAAAAGCTCAACCTATAAAATGGTTATAAACAATAAAATAACTTATATTATTAAGTGAAAAATTTCCTTACAAACTATTTGCTTTTAATTATTAATCATTAACTTAATTACTAATGCCTCAAATAGTGTACAATTTTAAGTAGAAAGAATTTTTGACGAAATAACATTGCAACTTCCTTATAGGATAACAGAATATTTTAATATTCTCAAATAAATGCAACAATGATTTTTGATAAACTACCTTCTGTTTACAGGAAACACCAGATTGTTGTAGGGTTTCTTGTTCCATGTGTATCCAGGCAAACATCAAACATGACAATACTAATGGAAAGAGAGCTTCATACCTAAGGCAGGAGTGGGAGGCGTGGGGGGTGTGCAAATGGGAGGATAGAAATGAAAAGAAAAAAAAAAAAATTAAACAAATTAAAATTTATACTGAGAGGTCTTCCTCTAAATTAAAACAATCTTGATAATACTTCTAAGTCACAATATCACAAAAATTTAAATTTTCTAGGCTTTCCAGAGAAAAAAGTAAGATAGGAAAGTAACATTCAAATATCAACTCCAACACCATCTTTTTTTTTAAATTGATTAAATCTTGAGATCATTACATATTTAAAGTAGTAGAGATATTTAAAAATCATTCATAAGGTAAATGACAGATATACACAAAAAAGAAAGAAAACATTAAGACAAAGGTAAAAAGACAATTCTTGAGTTTATATTATTAACACATACAGAAGAGCAAGACAAACATCCCAAACTTTTTAAAAAAATGGGTGCAATACAGGAACATAAACCTCTCAAAAAGAAAAAAAGAGCCAACAAATACGTGAAAATGTTTGACCTTATTGATAACTAATACGGAAATTAAAACAATAGAGAGATACTATATTCACTTATCATATTTACCCATATAAAAAATATTGTTGACAACAGTGTAATGAAAAAGGAACTCTCTTATTTTCTTTACAGGAATAAACACTTTCAGGAAGGCAATCTAACGCTATGCATCAAGAATCTCAAAAATATTCATATACTATAACCCAACAACATAACTTCTAGGAATTTACCCAGATAAAATAATCAGACGTGTACTATGATTCCCATATAAAGATGTTTGCTGTAATATTGTTTACAGAAGGGAAAAACAGGAAACAACCTACATATCTACAGGGCAGTGATGAAATAACATAGAGCAAATCTCTAGGCTGGAGTATAATATGGACATTATAATGTGGACAAAGGAGAAATGCTCACAAGACAATGCAGTGACAGAAGCCTTTTCTAATCCTTTTCTGCTCTAGTTTGGGATAAGTGTTCCACGTCTGTAATCCCCAAAATACTCTATTATAGTACGCATCACACTGTTTTAATCACGTTTGCTTGTATGCATCCCCTGCTAGTTTGTGATATGTTCGACTGTGTCAGCCTTGTGACCACTGAAGGGCTAGCTCACACTGTTTGTTGAGTGAGTTACTCACCTAACTCAGAGTTACAAAACAATATCAAAGAAACCAAAACAAAAAAAGTTTATTTCTCTTTCAACTTTTTCAACTATTGAACTCTATTCCATATGGCACTATTTCCTAAACACGAGAAAGAAAAAGAAACAAAATGCTTTAAACTCTACCACAGATCATAAAACTAAGACACTGAAGATGAGGCAGCAGGAAACACTGAGGTTTAAGAAAGCATACACAAATAACTTGGTATATAAGATTCAGAATGGCCAAGAATACGAACAGACAGTACATACGAGAGAGAATATCATTAGGAAAACAAGTACAGAAAATTATACAAAGCGGTACCATTTCTGATCTATGAAAATAGCATTTGATATTCTTATTTAAAATTGGAAATACCAACTACTGTGCGTGATACAATGAAACAGAACCCTTCATATGTTGTTTGTGATATTATAAAGTGGCACTGTTCTTAAAAGTAAAAAAAAAGTTCATATTCTATGGCCCACCTATACTACATTCAAGAAGTGAACAAAGGAAATCATTGAAACTATGTGAAAAGCTAACGCATAAAAATATAACGCAAAATATTATTTATGATAATAAAAAGTAGAAATAAATAAAATCATCAAAAATAGAGAAACGGCTAACTAAATCAAGGTGCATCCACATCACAGAATATTAAATATCTATTAAATGATGGTTAGGAAGCCTATGCACCACCTGGGAAAATGCTTCTAAAGTAAAGTAGGAAAAAAAGATAGAAAATAGTACGTAGACTATGATTAATACTATGCTAAAAAGATAAATACAGAGGTAAGACTGGAAGGAAATATACCAGAACATGAACAGGAGTGCTGGGGTTAATAAATGATTTTCTCCCTTACCCCTACTTTTCAAAATGTGATTATACTATTTTTACAATGCTTAAAAGAAAAATAAAAAACAAGATTTAGAATGCCTGTATCCTAGTCATTCTTTAAGATTAGTTCAACTTCCACACGGGTCCTTGATGGGACCAATTTAGCGCCCCTACTCAAACTCTTTCTCTAGTGACTCTTTATATCACACAATTCACAACTTGATTAACTCCCAATAACTTAATTGTTGCATTTTGTAATTGGCTAACACTGAAAAATAAAGTCCTTATGTTATAGCAGCTTATGACTCTACTTTATGCCTGGGGTACACTAATTGTTTTGCCTGGATGTCTGTCTAGTGGTCAGGACACTGGATGTGGAAGAAAAAAAAACTGTCGATTAACTGAATCAAGAAGGTATATTCCCTTGAGCAAAAGAGAACTATGACTTTTAAAATATTTCCAGTTATATATTAAATTATTTTTTCCTAATACATAAAAACATGAATTCCATAGTTCTACAAATAGTGCTACAGATTCATTTCCTTTCAAAAACTATAAACTATGATAATTCTCTTTTGTAAAATGTAGAGGAATAAATATGATAAAGGCAATCTTCCTATGGGGCTTTATTTCTTCAGACGATCAATATCTTGTATAAAGTCTGCATATCTGAATTAATAAACTAAAATACCAATAAAATGTCATCACAGGCTCACAGTGTACATAATAAAACCTTACTAAATCAGGACCTGCTAGTTTGGTCTCTGTGCAAATTGAACAGGGCTGAAAATGCATTAAGTTTTGTATTATAGTTTGCTAACCTAAGGGATAATATAACAAAATTTCAGAGGGAACTGTTTAAACAACTTAAGAGAACTATTTTCAAGTATTACAACAGCTTCCATTTACATAAAAACAATTAAGTGCTGATTAAAAATGAATAGTGTTTCTTCATTAAATCAAGGATGCATTGTTAGAATTTAGGATTACTGTATTTCTATAAAGTAATAAAGCTGCATCTCTTTTAAATACCCTATAATTCTGACTATTCACTAATTTACGTAGAGAACTCTCCAGGTCATCCAAAATAGCAATGTGGAATGATAGCAGGTGGACTATGTTTTGCAAAACTGATATGACACTGAAAAATGCACTAATTGAAATTATTAGACTGTGCTGTTTCAGACTACCCCTGTTGAATTTTTTTGCAAAGGTAAGTAATGTCATACTCATCATTAATATTCTGATTTTAAGCGTGAATTTTCACTTTTTGGATTTTCTTCAAATAAATTAAATATGCTCAGGATAATCTGTTTTGGTATCTTCCAAGACTATGAAATTGATGATTTATAATACTATAACACTTATCATCCCCAATGTAAGTTACATGATTAACTTATTCTACATTATGAAATATTTTTTCACTCAAAATTCAACTTGAATTATCCTTTCTTTCTTCCTTCATTTCTAAACCAGCAAACCAGATCTATTTCTAGATTTGTTTGTATTTTTAAATCTACTACACATTCCTTTAAATCTGTTTACTGCCTTAGAGTTTGAAGGTTCAAAAAAGAAAAGGGCTTATTGATTATTAAGTGGCTGTGTAGACACTGGCACATATTCCTGGGCCCCTCAAATATTTACTTGCTTAAGGCAACCTCTGGGTGTGATTTCCTAAAAGAAACTTGTGTGTCACCCCAAAATGGTGGGTCAGAATAGAAATGATTTTATGTTCTGCTTTCTTATCTACACTAAAAATTTGTGCATACTCTAATTCATATGTACTTTGATAGACTCTGACGATAACTAAATTATTTATCCTAAAATTCCACCAATAAAGGGGAAAAGAGTGAGGAGCTTTAAGGTCTCATTATGTTTATCACTCTTGAGAAGAATACGCTGATAGACTTCATTTTATTTGAAAGTTAGAAGTTCTAAGTCTCAAAGCAAGCTCATCTTAAGATCTTATTAGATAGCTGGTAAAAATTTCCATGTTGCTTATATTCTATCTTCACAGCCATGCCCCAGATCTGGTTATACAGGGAAAAGGGAAAAGACAGGAGGTGTGGGGAGCTTTGGTAAGAGAAGGAAGGTTAATGCCCGACTGGGTCATCTCCTATCTGGGGACTAGAAGAATGCCTGGGGTCTGGGTCACTTAGGATGTTAGAGTCTACCATGAAAAGATTTGAGAACATCCTTCTAATTTTGAATTAGGACAACTAAGTTTCCCAAAGAATAAACCCAAGTTTTGTACCCAAAATGGCTTCACAAAATCACCTAAACTAGGAATAATCTGTTGATAGCACAATGGTGAATTCCTAGGTTTAGTCTAATTGGGATCATTATTCTAGATTTGGGCCAAATTTCAAATTGTCTATGAGTGGTGGTTATTCAATTTATCTGGTCTACTCACTGTTTGTTACAATATGCACAGTTCTCACCCTCACAAAGACTTAAGTAAAAATGAAACGGAATTCAAAAGTAAGTGAAGAATTCTTTTCTTCAAAGTACATGGGGAGAGTATACAACTATTTTCAGAGTTTTAGAGAATGCTTCAGGATCCACCTAAAGTGGGCTTATAGATTTTGTTTTATAAGAAAATTTCAATCTTAAATAAAAATGGATTCTTTAACTTTCAGGAAAATATTCTGAAAGTTTTCTGAATCAAAACGAATATTTGGACCATGATATATGTAAGAGTAAAAAACATATATATATTCAAAGAAAAATGAGCAAATCAAAGCATTAATTTAAGGTGCATGAAAGAAATGCAACAAAAACTACACTTTTTCTAAGTCATTGTTTGAGACTTAAAATTCCTCCATAATCAATCAGAACCTTCTAACACTGTAGTAAAATGACATTTTAGCAACTTCAGGAAATAAACAGAAAGACAAAGACAACAGGCAATACTATGAAAATGATGAGAAAAAGAAAACTGAAGATTACAGATAAAGTCATATATAGTTCTTACAGAGTAGAAAATATTTATAATCTATTTCTCAAGATTAACACCAATTTTTCATTTCCAGAAGTTTGATAATCATAGAGAAATGTCAATATATCATTTAAAACTTGCTACTAAAAATTAAATTTTAAAAAAAGTTTATACCCTCTGCTTAGAAGTATGTAGGTTGACATCAGAGAAAGAAGTATGCTAAACAATCGCTCAAAAAGAATCGGGGGGCTCAGTAGCGGCAGGACGAAGGAAGAGGCTGCAATGAAACAAAGCAGGGTAGTGTCAGTATGATGGACACAACACATGTGAGTTTAGAAGCACAGACTAATCTATTATCATTTATGGCATTTATTGTTTGTATGACCTTTAAAATGAGGCTATGTATGCCCTAACCATTTTTATAAGAAATTTGAAACTTCACACTTTTAATTAAAATTACATTTCATTGTTTTAACCACATTTTGGTTCAGATTTTCTCAAATTATATTCAGCCTTGTTCACTGCAATATTAACTCCTAAATGAATAATTTATTTTCTAACGTAAATAATAAAAAATGCAATAAAAATACTACTCAAGATTCAGCAATTCTTCTCTTAATTAGGCATTTAGTTCAAAGACAACTTACTCCCCAGAAACTGATTTTCCCTAACCCCCTTCTCCTCTAAGTTTCCCACTGCAGAACATGCACTGAAAGTTGTAGTGTGCCACTTGGAAAATCAGAGACAGGAAAAAAGGACCGCATCACGCACAAGAGTTGTAATGAGTAACCTTAATAAATGCAGTAATCTTCCCCCACAAGATAAGAAAGAAACTACTTCAGTGGGAGAAGGGTAGATGAATTTTGGGGAATTTTGGAAAGCAAATGTGCATAACTTCCTAATTCCTAATTCCCCCAGTAAGGATGGCAATATGCATGAGTTAAATGCTCCAGAGTATGGAGACAGATGACTTGGTATGGAATCCTGGCTGAATCACTTATTAACTGCTTAACCATGGGGCAAATTCGTTAACCCATCTAAGCAGTATTCCTGTCTGTCAAGTAGAGATGATACAAAAAAGTTGTTATAAGGTTTAAATACAATTTCACCTATAAAATGCACCCTGAGCATAGTGCCTGGAATACAGTTGGTGCTTAATAGCTGTTAGCTGCTATTATTATTACTAGTCAACATCTACTAATAAGTTAAATGGAAAGACAATCTCCTTCAAAGTCAAGTCATTGAAAGATTTAAGACTATGCAAATTATACTTACAGTACCCTTAGACAAACAGCCTCTGATTTTTTTCAGATGTGTAGTTCAATAATGTTATCATCACTTGATACATATTGTAATGGAAAGAAAAAAATTTTAATATTTCTTATTTAAAAAGCCAGTTCAAATGAGACCTCTTCTGTAGAACTGTATTTTCTATCCTTGTTTTACTTTTGTTTAAAGGAGTGATGAGGTGCTAAAGGTGAAATAAGAGTTTCCATTCTGAGCGACATAAGTTTGCACCAGTTTCATAACATAGAATCCATTTGGTGATCACAGCATGTTAGCAATAAATGGTCACTGGAGCTAGGCTATGGTGAATTAGTACCTAGAAGAGATCTCTGGAGATAACTGACATATCTACAAGTCAGTTATTTCATGCCTTGCACCATTCGGTAGGCATCCTCTAGTACCTATCTCTCCCAATCACAGAGGAAACGTCTTGTTTAAAATATATGTCCAGCCTACAAGAGATTCACTTCAGATTTAAGAACACACATAGGCTCAAAGTGAAGGGATGGAGAAAGACATTTCATGCAAGCGGAAACCAAAAGAAAGCAAAGGGTAGCTATAGTTATATCAGACAAAATAGACTTTAAACCAAAAACAGTAACAACAGACAAAGAAGGTCATTATATAATGATAAAAGGGTCAGTTCATTAGGAGGATATAACAATTGTAAATATATTTGCACTTAACATTGGAGCACTTAAATATATTAAGAAAATACTAACAGATCTGAAGGGAAAAATAGACAATAATATAACAATAGTAGGACACTTCAATACCCCACTTTCAGCAATGAATAGATCATCCATAGACAAAATCAACAAGGAAACATTGGAGGTGAATGATACATTACACCAAATGGACATAACAGAACTTTATAGAACATTCCATCCAACAGCAGCAGAACACATATTCTTCTCAAGTGCACACAGAACATCTCCAGGATAGATCATATGATAGGCCACAAAACAAGTCTTAGCAAATTTAAGAAGACTGAAGTCACACCAAATATCTTTACCAACCACAATGGTATAAACTAGAAATGAGAACAAAAGGAAAGCTGGAAAATCTACAAATATGTGGAAATTAAACAACACATTCCTGAACAATTCATGGGTCAAAGAAGAAATCAAAAGGTAAATTTTAAAAAATCTCAAAACAAATGAAAATGGAAACATAACATAAAACCTATGGAATGCTGCAAAAGCAGTTCTGAGAGGAAAGTGTATAGTGATAAATGAACAGAGTACTAAGAAAATAGAAAGATCTCAAATAAAAAAACCTAACTTTACACCTCAAGGAACTGGAAAAAGAAGAACAAACTAAGTCCAAAATTAGCAAAAGGAGGGAAATAACATAGATCAGACCAGAAATAAATGAATAGAGACCAGAAAAACAATAAAAAAGCTCAACAAAACTAAAAGCTTTTTTAAAAAAAGATTAAAAAAATTGACAAACCTTTAGCTAGACTAAAAAAAAAAAGAAAACTCAAATGAATAAAATCAGAAATGAAAGAGGAGACATTACAACTGATGCTATAGAAATACACAGGATAAGAAACTACTATGAACAATCATATGCCAACAAAATGGATAACCTAGAATAGACAAATCCCTAGAAACATGCAACCTACTGAGACTGAATCAGGAAGAATTCGAAAATCTGAACAGACCCATAACAAGTAAGGAGATTGAATCAGTAATCAAAAACCTCTCAACACAGAAAATCCAAGGACCAGATAGATGGCTTCACTGGTGAATTCTATCAAACACTTAAAGAAGAATTAATGCCAAGCCTTCTCAAACTCTTCCAAAAAATTGAAGAGGAGGGAACAATTCCAAACTCATTTTATGAAGCCAGCATTACCCTGATAGCAAAGCCAGAGGTCACAAGAAGAAACTATAGAACAATATACCTGATGAATATAGATGTAAAAATTCTCAACAAAATATTAGCAAACAAAATTCAACCACACATTATAAGTATTATAGAGTGACATCAGCATCATGGTGGAGTGAGCTTGCCTAGGACTCTCTCCCCTCCAACATACAACAAAAAGGAGCAACCATATTCCAACAAAAAATATCCTAATAACACAGGAATCCTTGGAGACCCACAGCAGCCAAACGATGGAGGGCAGAGAGGCTGGAGACCCCCTTGGAGGAGCTGGAACAGGGTAAGAGAGAACTTGGCTCCCACCCCTAAACACTGGGATTGCTGCCGCAGGCTGCTCCATGAGGGAATGAGTGGGGGAAGGGCCATGCATCAGCAGGATCACCCAGGACTCCCTAGCACCCTTGCCGTGCAGACGGAAGCCCTCTAATGGGGGAAAGCTTTCACTGGGGGTGACCTCATCAAGCCAAGACCCCAGGAGACCAGATAGCAAGAGCTGATTGAGAAACCAGGTTTGCGCGCAAGAGAAAGTGACACCCCCCTCCCCCAACTCGCATTGTGCCAGCCATCTCAGCTGAAGGCCAGGGCTCAGAATATGCGGCTCTCGACCCCCATCTAGTGGTGACAGGCTGTAACTCCAACCAGATAATATCACTGGAAAAATCACTCTTCTGGCATCAAACAATTCATAAAAACTCCAGACCAGAGGGAGAACAACACCCAGAATTATGTCCTGAGGACTCAGAAATAAGTAAACTAAACGACAATGAATTCAGAATAGCTATTGTCAAAAAACTCAGTGAGGTCAAGGAAAATATAGAGAAACAAGTCAACGAGTTCTGCAGTTATTTCACAAAAGAGATTGAAACTATAAAGAAGAATCAATCAGAAATACCAGAGATGAAAAATACAGTGGAAGAAATAAAACATAATATGGAATCCCTGAATACCTGTGTGGATGCCATAGAGGAGAAAATCAGCATAATCAAAGATAGACAAGTTGAATGGCTCCAGAGAGAGGAAGAGAAAGAACTAAGAATAAAAAGGAATGAAGAAAATCTCCAAGAAATAGCTGACTCAATGAGGAAATGCAATACAAGAATTATTGGTATCCCAAAGGACGATGAAAAGGAGAATGGAGCAGAAAGTGTGCTCAAAGAAATAATAGCAGAGAACTTCCCAAATCTAGGGAATGAGAGAAAAATGTGTGTGGAGGAAGCTTTCAGGTCTCCTAAATATGTCAATGTAAAAAGACCTACTGCAAGGCATATGGTAGTAAAATTGGCAAAAGTGAATGACAAAGAAAGAATACTCAGGGCAGTAAGGCAGAAGAAAATAACCTACAAATGAACCCCTATCAGACTTTCAGCAGATTTCCCTGCAGAAACCTTACAAGCTGGGAGAGATTGGAATGACATATTCAAAACTTTAAAAGATAATAATCTTCAGCCAAGAATACTCTATCCAGCAAAAATATCCTTCAGATATGAAGGAGAAATTAAATCTTTCCCAGACAAACAAAAGTTAAAGGACTTCATAGCCACGAGACGCTCCCCCAACAAGAAATCCTCAAGGCCCTCATGCCTGAAAAAAGAAAAAAAGGGAGAAAGGGTCACGAAACACAGCATTAGGAGACAAATAGATAGAATCAGAATAGGATAGCAAATATACAACTATAGCATTAGGATAAAGGGAAGGAAAACACCAAAAACAAAGACAATCTTATCACTTTAACCACAAACTCACAACACAAGTTGGAATAAAATATTACAATAATAACTTAGGAGGGAAGGAGGAAAGGGACTGAATCAGTTTAGGCTAAGGAAATAAGAGGCCACCAGAAAATGGACTATGTTATACATGAGACTCTGAATACAAACTTCAGGGTAGCCACTAAACTTTAAAACAGAACAGAGACACAAAAAATAAGTAAGGAAATAAGAAACTGCAGAAGTCAATGGGTAGGCCAAAACACACAGGACAAGAAACAAAGGTAATGCAGAAAAACCAGAAAATGAGTGACAGAATGACAGCATTAAGCCCTCATACATCAATAGTCACCCTCAATGTAAACGGATTGAACTCTCCAACAAAAAGACA